TTTTACATTTACATACACAAAACTATAATACATGCACTTTTTATTTAACCTTTGTCTGTTGCATTTATTTCCACATGTAGTTTGTTTATGACATGTTATGCCTAATTCACTCTTCAACAAAATCATCCTAATCAATCAAAATTATTAATACATTCAGTAACACTTTAGGGACCAATTCCCACGATTAACTAGTGGCTTATTAGCATGCATGTTATTGAGATATTGGCTGCTTAATAGTACTACATGTTCTGTATGATCCTATTCTACATCCCTAATTCCTACCCTATACCTAAACTACCTTAATAACTATTAAGAAGCAAATTAGGATTTTATTGACGCAAAAGTCAAAATGGTTTGCTAAGCGCAAGAAACTAACCTTAAAATAGTGCGACTAAAGATTCTTTCCAAGTATAACAAAGTTTATAGGCCATTTCAATGTGGTCATGTCATTGCTCCATGAACATTTCCTGCTTGTTATAAAACTACTTCATAACTGTAAAAAGAGACAATTCAATCCCAATTTAATGTTAAAACAGCTATCATTACGTTATTTATCAATATGTGTGTCTTTTTAGATTCTCTGAGATTATAGAAATGTAAAATGTGAAACAGAAAATACCATGGGACCATTGTTTTTGTTTACATCCCTCAAAGTGGCACAATTAAATTGACTGTCAACAGTGTTGCAGTTTCAGTCATAACATGACTTCCCGATTTAAAAAATGATCAAAGATTACTTTTCTGAAAATATATTATTAAGGAGAAATTCAGAATGTGTGAATATAAAACAAACTTTACCTCAATGTTTTCTGATGTTCCTTTATGAACACCATGGTAGTGCTAAAATACTATAGTAAATCTCCTCAAAGATAAAACTAACGCAATTTAGCGTTTAAGCTAATATAAAAAGGAATTTATGAGCACAGATAACATGATAAAAGAACAATTAGAGATAGTGAATAATTATAAAATGTGTAGGATATTAGTTTAATAATAAACGTTAGCTCTTATGTTCGAAAAGCTGCTGACCATGTATACACATTAACACTATTTCGCTCTCATCGACACAAACAACCTATTCAAACATGTTCTCACAGCACAGATATTATTAATGTGAAGGAATAAATGACAGAAAATGTAAAAGAGCTGTGATTATAAGGTTAATCGAACGTTTAACGTCGACATTATTGTTTTTGTCACTCACCCGCTAAGCTGCTGCTGCTGCTAGATCTGAACTTTCCCGCGTGCCGTCGTCACCGACGTCATGACATCACGTCGCTGTTTCATAACGTCATTGTGTATCTTATTTATTTTTTCGCTTTTATACAAGATACAATTGATTATAATGGTTATTTATTAATATAATACTTACAACGTATTGTCTTATTTTCTAGTTTTCCGTGAAGTATATCATTCATGTAAAGAAACGGGCTAAGGGGCTAAACTAAAGCCAAGCCAAATTGTAAACATTTCACAAGAGAATAAACAATATGGTATTACACTGCATAACATTTTAAACAAAAACGTTAAAAAGAATCCTGTATGAAGCATTGTGTCATTTTAATTTGGTTTACTCAAACTACTGGCAACTGTTCATACATTTCTATGTAAATGTATAGATGAATTACCGGTTTGTAAACATTCAGAATGCGCACGCAGCAAGGTTGCAGAATAAACCGGGAGCGCTAGCATTTACAGCGAGGGAATGACATCCGATGCGGTAAAGAGTTTGTTGTTGTCTTAGAAATAAGTTATACTGATGACCTATTTTATATATTATTTACATAATGCTTTCAGTGTATTATAACAGCTTGTTACCCAGTGATGAGCACAGTGATTCTACAAAATTAATGCTAAAGTGAGCGGCGTTTGTCTAACAGGTCCATTTGCAACAACACCCTCCCAATGGATATTGGAAAAGAGGAAATCGCCAAGCATCCAGCCCAAAATATACAACTACCTCATTGAAACTCCAAGTGATTTTACAAGAGAGAAGTTAAAGGCCTACAAGTCTTCAGATTCAACACTATGTAGTGCTAAAAGACAAGGAAAGAAGATGGAGCTGTACAAGGCCTGGGTAATCATCAACAAGCAAAACAACTGCTTTCTGACAGTGAACTGCACCTGTACGGCAGGGTATGTGAACGTACATGTTTACATTTCATTCTAAGCATTCAATGTCCGCAGGTTAATTCACCATATTTAACTGTTTTTGCTGAAATCATTGTTGCAATCAAAAACGAGTGATCTGTGTGATTCAGCATAGCGGGAACTTACCGAATATAAAATAAAAACTGCAGGGTCCAGCATTTTTAATTAGGTCCTTACTCCATTCAGCTCGTATGATGGCTGTTAGCCAAAGGCATCTGCAGTTGGCATTAAAAGCAGTGTGTTGTACGGTAAAATTTAAGTTTTTTATTTTGGCATCCTACCGCACAACACAACATGTTTGCTATTGTAACTGCTATGTGCGGTTGAACCCGTGTGATGTTATGTGTGACGTAGGTTAGTAATTCCCCTATAGCTACTCTTAATATACTCATTCGAGCCCTAATTTACGCTTGATCCTCCCTGAAGGACATCAAAACAAGAAGTGTAGGGGGTCAGCTCTTTAACACTGAGAAATAGTTTACTCTGATCTGCATTTTAAATAATAATATTCATTCATTCATTTTCTTTTCAGCTTAGTCCCTTTATTAATCTGGGGTCGCCACAGCGAATGAACTGCCAACGTATACAGCATGTTTTACACAGCAGATGCTCTTCCAGCAACAACCTATCACTGGGAAACAAACATCCATACACTATCATTCACACACATACACTACGGTCAATTTAGCCTACCCAATTCACCTGTGCCGCGTCTTTGAACTTGTGGGGGAAACTGGACCACCCGGAGGAAACCCACGCCAACACGGGGAGAACAAGCAAACTCCAAACAGAAATGCCAACTGGCCCAGCCGAAGCTCGAACCAGCGACCTTCTTGCTGTGAAGTGCTCGTGCTACACACTGCTCAACCATGACGCCCATTAATAATAATAATAATAGTAAAAAATTATAAAATATATATATATATATATATATATATATATATATATATATATATATATATATATATATATACATTTGACCACCCCTATAACGTTCATACCCCTGTAAATGCATAATCGCGCCAATCAGTCTATGCCAGAAAAAGTTCATTTGACAGAAACTGGCATATCTAGAGCACAGATGGACATTGTAAGTATTCACAATGTTTTCTCATGAAATAAGTGTAGCTTTATATGGCCTGACAGTAGTCAAATTAGATGCATACGTTTGTATGGTTTGATAAAGTAAAGTCTGAAAGAGGTTATCAGAGGATACTGTGGGTCAGAATACACGAAATATCCTTCAAAACACTGAAAACTTAAATATGTTTTATTAATAAAATAGGTACATATTCACTACCTGACAAAAATCTGGTCATCAATTCCAGTTCTGAGAGCAAGAAATAATAACTTGACTTCGAGTTGATCATTTGGAAAAGTGGCAGAAGGTTGATTTTTCTGATGAATCATTTGTTGAACTGCATCCCAATCAACACAAATACTGCAGAAGACCTGTTGGAGCTTGAATGGTGAAGTGAAGTTTGGTGAAGGAAAAATCATGGTTCAGGGTAACATTCAGTGTGGGGGTGTGCGAGAGATCTGCAGAGTGGACGGCAACATCAACAGCCTGAGGTATCAAGACATTTGTGCTGCTCATTACATTACAAACCACAGGAGAGGGCAAATTCTTCAGCAGGATAGCGCTCCTCATACTTCAGCCTCCACATCAAAGTTCCTGAAAGCAAAGAAGGTCAAGGTGCTCCAGAATTGGCCAGCCCAGTCACCAGTTATGAACATTATTGAGCATGTCTGGGGTAAGATGAAAGAGGAGGCATTGAAGATGAACTCTGGGAGTCCTGCAGGAACGCTTTCTTTGTCATTCCTGATGACTTTATTAATCAGTGATTTAAGTCATTGCAGAGATGTATGGATGCAGTCCTCCAAGCTCATGATGGAGTCACACACATTATTAACTCTTTTTCCACTGCAACATGACTTTATATTCTATACTGGACATTATTTCTGTTAAGTGACAAGACTATTGTCTGATCGTCAAAGTAGAAAATCGCACACTAGTTGTGAGATGTATATGTTTGTACTAAGTTAGTATATATTTGCATAAAATGTACAAAAATCTGTATTTTATTTTACATTTTAGATTTAATTTAATTTTGTCCAACATTAAATGACGCCAACAGGATCTAGCTATGCTATTAAATACAAGTCTAATGGTTTTATTTGTGTAGTACTAATGATAATAATAATAACTCAGAGTTCATAACTTCATTGTGTTATTTTATTCAATTTTAAACAATATACAAGTATAACAACCAAATATGTAGAAGTTAAAATGGTTGAAAAGTAATAACAATTCTATATGTTATATTTTGGCAACATTTTGATTATAACAATCATCATTTATTATGTTTAGAATATACATGCATAAAACAATATACAAAGTAAAGATAAATACATTCATATCATTGAATCATAATGAAAATCTGTTATGTATGTAACAGTCTAAGAAAATAGCAAAACTGACAAAAAAGAATATGTATAGTATTATTAACATGAGTACCTATTCAAAACTGGACTGAGAACATTTTTTAAACCATATTCGTTTCCTAAACTGTAACCGAGAGAGCAAATATCTGTCATTCAGATGCTCTAGTTTTCTCCAGTGTTCAACATTACGTTTACATTTTCATTCATTCATTTTCCTCCGACTTAGTCCCTCATTTATCAGGGGTTGCCACAGCGGAATGAACCGCCAACTATTCCAGCATATGTTTTATGCAGTGGATGTCCTTGCAGCTGCAACCGAGTACTGGAAAACACCCATACACTTATTCACACACTGCAGCCAATTTTGTTTACCCAATTCATCTATAGCGCATGTCTTTGGACATTGGGGGAAACACCAGAGGAAACCCACGCCAACACTGGGAGAACATGCAAACTCCATACAGAAGTGCCAACTGGCTAAGCTTTGACTTGAACTAGTGATCTACTTGCTGTGAGGCCACAGTGCTAATCAACGTAAATACACTTCATTGTACATGTATTATTATTACATGTACATAGTATTTCTTATTGGTAAGACACTATATTCTGTCTAACTGGAGTTTAACCCTTTACACAACTCCTTTACCATTCTAATTTGTACTGTAAAGTAATGAGGTGCGTCGAATTGTGAAACATTTTCACGATCACCAGCGATCTAGCCTGTGCAGATCACTGGAGAACTACACATGTGCCACTGATATAAACTACAACTCCCAGAAGTCTTTGCACTTATCACTCCTGCCACAGCTGACATCAGACATTGATACACCACACAGCTGAAGCTCACGATTGACCATCGATCGATCATTGATTAGTGACCATTGATTGATCATTACTTGGACTATTTATATACCTCACATTCTCACACACTTTGCTGAGTCTTGTTTACTGTTTCCTTGTTTTGGCTTCCCATGGGTTTTTTAACATTTGTTTTGTTTTATTGTTTATGCTGTTATGCTGCCTGTCCTGACAATTTGCCCATTATTTTGACTACATTCTTCAGATTACCCTCATGCTCCAGTTTGCACATATTTGACGATTACCTGCCCGATTATTTATGATTATTATACTGAACATGGATCCTCATCTCTGTTGTCCAGCGTCCCTACAATACAAAAGTGATATACAAGTAGACTTGAACTAAATATTTGAATTGTATAATAAATATCGACCTTATGTGTGACTGCTTTGAATTTCTCTTAATTGTAATAATGCAGATACCTTCACCAGCGATTCAATTTATAAACGGAAATAAAGGCACAATTAGTTTCATAAGTTAATCAAATTCTGCATTGGATGGTCACAGTCTAATACTGCAAATGAATGTAAAATGTAAAAGATATGGAGGTGAGATTCAGTCGGGCCTTTTGTTGTCTTATGTGGCGTCTTCATATGGATTATCTGTTACTTCAGTCTTCTCAGACTTCTCTGAAGGAGCCGAGTCTCCAAAGAAGGTGCTCGTTTTCAGGTAATACACAAACAAGAAGAATCCTATGAAAAACACACCAGTCAATAAAAACTGCATGAAATATTGAGCATGTTTTACAGTTTTGTACTGTTGGACAAAGATTAATCACGCATCAAAATGAAAGTTTGTTCTTCCATAAGATGTGTGTTTTATATATATAAACGTTTTTAGGTAGAGTGAATGTAATACAAACACATACATTAAACTAAAACCATACAAAAATTTTAGATAGATATTTAAACGTACAGTTGAAGTCAGAATTATTAGCCCTCCTGTTTATTTTTCCCCACAATTTCTGTTTAACAGAGAGCAGATTTTATCAACACATTTATAAACATGATAGTTTTAATAACTCATCTCTAATAACTGATTTACTTTATCTTTGCCATTATGACAGTAAATAATATTTACTAGATTTTATTCAAGACACTTCTATACAGCTTAAACTGACATTTACTGAAATAATAGTATAGCTTAAAGGGGCTATAATTTTGACCTTAAAATGGTTTTTAAAAAACGTAAAACTGCTTTCATTCTAGCCAAAATAAAGCAAATAAGACTTTCTCCAAAAGAAAAAATATTATCAGACATACTGTGAAAATTTCCTTGCTCTGTTAAACATCATTAAGAAAATATTTAAAAAAGAAAAAAAATTAAAATGGGGGCTAATAATTCTGACTTCAACTGTATGACAAAGACAAGATGTCTTATTTTGCTTTCAAAATCAAATAAAATTAATCCAAGTAATTTCTTAAACATACATTTCTTAAACCACAGGGTTTGCTTTAATGTTTTAAATAACCTTTGGGAAAAAAAAATAATTAAAATATTTTCCATCTTCATCTAGTGTAATGCATATATATATTTACAAAAATTATTCATTCAGTCATTCATTGTCTTTCGGCTTAGTCTATTTATTTATCAGGGGTCGCCACAGCAGAATGAATCACTAACTATCCAGCATATGTTTTATCCTTCCAGATGCAACATATACACTACAGCCAATTTAGTTTATTCAATTCACCTATAGAGCATGTCTTTTGACTGGGGAACCCGTAGAGCACCTGGAAGAAACCCATGCCAACACGGGGAGAACATGTAAACTCCACACAGAAATGCCAGTGACCTTCTTGCTGTAAGGCGACAGTGCTAACCACTGAGCCACCGTGGTGCCTATTTGTAAAACATTTTATATTTATCCTGACCTCTATTTTTTTAAATATATCAAAGAATGAGTGAATAAATAAGTACTAACTTGTATTGCATTTTAAATAATTACAAATGTCTTGCTATATATTTCTGTATATGTTCACACACACACACACACACACACATATATATATATATATATATATATATATATATATATATATATATATAAATATATATATATATATATATATATATATATATACATACACGTATATAATACATGTAAAACCATATATAAATATAACTTAAATGACCCCTAAAAGTTCCCCTTTAAGTGATCATTTTAAATATGTACATATGAAATGAATAGTGCTGACCTTGTAAGGAGTTGAGTATGGTGAAGATGTAGTAGGATGGCATGCGCAGAGCTCCGTAGCTGAAGAAGCTGATGCCCCAGGTCAGTCCCAGCAGGCAGCACAGACCCAGCATGGTGGAGATGTCTGAGGAGGCCGTTCCCGAGCGCTTCACCTTCCCATCTTTACTCCACTTGCTCATCCGCAGCATGCTGAGCCACCGCACCACCACGATGAAGGTGCCCAGGGTGAAGGTGAACACAAAGCAGTAATAACCGATGTTCACTACGTAGTGGACAGTGGAGTCAACGATCCAGCACCTGCAGATATTAAATTCGAACAGTCTGATTCTTGATTCTGATTGGCTGAAAAACATTCTAAGGTGTGTGGATATTGTAAACAAGCAGATAAAGTAGTTCCAGTGGGTTTTGACCACATTACAGCTTCATATTACTACGCTGAATAATTTCTGAGTAATTTCACAGACACAACAATCAGAAATCAGATCAAAATGTGACGTAAGAAACTAATCCTACACACAGGAGCAGTTTGAGGACAAAAACCTGACGAATGTGTGAAATACAACATCTGAATAGTGTCATTGGGTGTGTTAACAGTAGTATAAGCAGATTAATGTATTAAATGTCTGTTTAAATATTAGAAATTAATGCACATTCAAAATGTAGTGACCACTTAACATCATGACCACATCACCACCTTAATTATACATTATTTTCTAATAATTATTTAATAATTTCAGCGCCTCATGGTCAATTATTTCTTACTTATTTACCTTTTTCTGCATTGTTTTAGAACATCTAATTCATTTGCCTATCGGGAAATTATACTAGTAGGAAAAATAAAGGGCAGTAATCGGCAAAATTCTTGCTCATAAACAATTGTGTTTATGAGAATACATAATGATAAAACTGCATCAAGCTGTATTTAGGACTTAAAATCAATGGATGTGAATGCGTGCTCTTATATGTGATAGAATAAGGTCAATACTAGGAGGCTGTGGAATGCTCGATTCTGATTGGTTGATGAATATTCTAAGGTGTGTGGTTATTTTCAGATAAACACACAGCTAAAGTAGTTCCGGCAGGTTTTGACCGCATTTCAGATTCATATCACCACACTGAATGACTTCTGAGTTATTTCACATACACAGCAGTCAAACATCACAACAAAAATACAACAGAAGGCTTTGGATGTGATGTGTAAGAAACTAATCCTACACACAGGGGCAGTTTGAGGACAAAAACCTGACAAATGTGTGAAATACAACATCTGAACAGTGTGATTAGGTGTGTTAACAGTACTATAAGCAGAATAAATGACTCAAGTCTCTTATATATATATATATATATATATATGTATGTATGTTAGAAATTAATGCACATCCAAGGTGTACTGGCCACTTCACATCATGACCACATCACCACCTTAATTATACATTATTTTCTAATAATTCTTTAATAATTCAGCAGCTCATAGTTAATTTTTCTTACTTATTGACCTTATTCTGCATTGTTTTAGAACATCTGATTCATTTTTTTAATGGGGAAATTACTAGTAGGAACAGGGGCGCAACTGCACATTTAGTGATGGGTATGCGGCTTCAACTTTTGCGCGCCCCCTCTCAATCCAATTATATCTTATAACAGGCAAGTGACAGTGCCAAAATATTTCCATCAATAAATTAAAGATATTTTTTCCTCATCAACATGCTTCAAACAAACACATTTCGCAGTTCTTAACACAACTGAAATAATATGAAGTGGTAAAAGGTATAATTACATTAAGCATATTAAGTCGCAAAGAATTAATCTCATCTCACCCCAAATTTCTTCTCAATTTAATTTTCCTCACTAAATGATTACAGCACCTTAACTTGCCTTGATTTTGGACTTTTTGTACTACATTTGTCAAAACAAAATGATAGACATGGGAGTCCTAAAGGTCAAAAGAACTTTGAAATTACTTCTCAGTGAGAGGTGTAAGGTTTGCACAATTGACTGAAACTGCTATTACACCTCTCATTAAGTGAAATAAAAAAGACTGTAAACTGTTTAGAGTAAAAAACAAACAGAGACAAACTATCTAAATTTGTCACCGACTCGGTCCCAGTCATTCCCCTCGCTGACCAGCAGAGGTCACCATCTCCGGACTTCTAACCATTACGTCATCCTTCTCACTCAGATCCCAGCACACCTGTTCTCCATCTCATTAATGACCCACGTACCACATATAAGCAGCTCACACACACACTTCATTGCGAAGTCTTGTTTAGCCCCGGCCAGCATTTCTGAGCGTTCTATCCTGCCTGATCTCCCGTTTACCACTTCAGCCCGTTCCTCGACTCTGCTCTGTCTTCTGCCTGCCCTTGACCTAAAGCCTGATTACACGGACTCTGATTCTCGCTGCCTGCCCCTGACTAAAGCCTGTATTACGGACTCTGAACCACGCTGCCTGCCATTGACTCAAGCCTGGTAATCACTCTGCCTCTGTTATCTGCTAATCTTCGTTGAGTTGTATGTTGTATGTTCGCACAACCGTGCGAGGTGTTGATGTTTAAGTGTGACTTAATAAATACTGCAAAATGGATCCCTCCGTGTCAGTCTCCCCGTTACAGAAGACTTCGCCCAACACGGATCCCGCAGCCATCCAGGTTTTGTCTCACGAAGTCACCACACAAGCTCAGGTATTGTCAACACACCAACAACAACTAACACACCTAACTCAGTTAACAGATGAACTGGTGAAATCCCTCCAAAACCTGCAAGCTGCTGCCACTGCGCAACCCACCGCCAACTACCCTCCAAGTCCACTTGTTGTTGCACAACCCCCGATGACTTCCGGAGTTCGATTGGCTTTTCCTGACAAGTTCTCAGGTGACCCAGCAAAATGTAAAGGCTTTCTATTGCAATGCAAACTGTTTATCGCCCAACAACCCCATCTGTTTAAGGACGAGAACGGGAAAATTGCTTTTGTGTGCTCACTGCTCACTGGGAAAGCGCTAGACTGGGCTACTGCAGTTTGGCCAGACAGTACCCCGATATTTCCCTCGTTTAATGACTTTCTCAAACGTTTCTGCACTGTGTTCGATCATCCGGAGGGTGGTCGTAACGCTGGCGAGGAGCTACTGTGTATCCAACAGGGAGATCGCTCCGCAGCTGAGTTCGCTCTGCAGTTCCGCACCTTGGCAGCGCAAACTGGCTGGGCTGATGATCCGCTCGTCACGCTCTACAGAAGGGCTCTAAGCCAGAATTGCAGCGAGAGATGGCATGTCGTGACGATGGGAAAACTCTGGATCAACTAATCGAGCTTTCCATAAGGTTAGACACTCTCCTCCGCACTCGCAATCCGCTCTGCTCAATTGCTTCCAGTCCTGTATCCCCTGAAACCTCCGCTGAACCCATGCAATTGGGTAGAACCCGTCTGAACCCAGAAGAGCGAGAACGACGGAGAAGAAATCACTTGTGCATTTACTGCGGACTTCCAGGTCATACGAAGGTTGTATGTCCCAACAAGCCTCTCCCTAAAACCCTCTCGGTGAGTGCAACCACTATGTTCACTACCACTAATAATGTTGTGAATCTGCCTGTCACTTTGAGAAATGATGGAAACGAGATTGAGACTATGGCCATGATCGATTCAGGAGCCGCTGGTAACTTTATCGAATACACGTTTGCCACCACTCACTCCATTCCTCTAACCTCCTGTGATTCCTCCATAGCCATCACTGCTGTAGATGGGCGCCCTTTGGGAGAAGGACGTATAAAATTCCAGACCCTGCCAGTCTTGCTTCAAACAGGCTCTCTTCATGAAGAAGAAATTTCCCTTCTTGCCATCAACTCCCCTAAACACTCTGTGATTCTCGGGTTACCATGGCTACAACAGCATGACCCTCAAGTCTCTTGGAGAACTGGTGAGATCATAAAATGGAGCAATCAATGCTTTACCCAATGCCTGCATCCTGTTTCCCCTATCCAGATCAACACAATCAACAAGACCGAAGACTCTGAACTCCATCATGTTCCTGATGCTTATCACGATCTAATTGAAGCATTCAATAAGCAGAAGGCTACTAAACTCCCTCCTCATCGTGATAATGACTGTGCCATTGAGCTGCTACCCGGCACCACGCCCCCTCGTGGTCGCATATTCCCTCTCTCACAACCTGAAACTGAGGCTATGAAGAAGTACATCTCTGAGGAGCTAGAAAAAGGATTTATTCGACCATCTACTTCTCCCGCTTCAGCAGGGTTTTTCTTCGTCAAGAAGAAGGATGGCAGCTTACGCCCTTGCATCGATTACCGAGGATTGAATGAGATCACAGTCAAATACCGCTACCCATTACCATTGGTTCCTGCCGCCCTTGAACAACTCCGATCCGCCCAGTATTTCACTAAGTTGGACCTCCGTAGTGCCTATAACCTCATCCGCATACGACAGGGAGACGAGTGGAAAACCGGGTTCTCTACAATTGACGGCCACTATGAATATCTCGTTATGCCCTTCGGCCTAGCAAACAGTCCTTCCGTGTTCCAGGCATTTGTAAATGAGATATTTAGAGACATGCTCAACAAGTGGGTCATAGTGTATATTGACGACATCCTGGTCTATTCCAATTCGCTATCTGAGCATATCCAGCACGTTCGGGCAGTGCTCAAACGTCTCATTAAAAACCAGCTGTATGCAAAAAGCTCCAAGTGCGAATTCCATCAGACCTGCATCTCATTCCTTGGCTACATTATCAGTCCAGAAGGCGTGGCCATGGACCAGCAAAAGGTTGACTCTGTGACACAATGGCCGCAACCCGAAACCATCAGGCAACTACAACGATTCCTGGGCTTTGCTAACTTCTACAGGCGCTTCATACGGAACTTCAGTTCAGTCGCTGCCCCACTGACCGCCATGGTCAAAGCCAACAATGCTCGCCTTAAATGGAACCCCGACGCTGTCCGAGCATTCACCCAGCTAAAGACTCGCTTCTCCAGTGCACCCATTCTGCGTCATCCTGATCCCGAACAACCCTTTGTCGTCGAAATTGACGCGTCAAACACTGGAATTGGAGCCATCCTGTCCCAGCGATCCCTAGTGAATAAGAAGCTCCATCCCTGTGCCTTCTATTCTCACAAGCTTAACTCCGCTGAACGGAACTACGATGTGGGAAACCGAGAACTCCTCGCCATGAAAGCTGCGCTAGAGGAATGGAGACACTGGCTTGAGGGCGCAAAACACCCTTTCATCGTCATCACTGATCACAAGAACCTAGAATACATCCGGTCTTGTAAACGTCTGAATCCTAGACAGGCAAGATGGGCGCTGTTTTTCACACGATTTGACTTCCAAGTCACCTATATCCCTGGTTCGAAAAACATCAAAGCAGATGCTCTGTCCCGCCTCTCAGACGATGAGACCTCTGAAATCCCTGACGAGCCCATAATCAAAAGTCCTCTAATTGTCGCTCCCATCCAGTGGGATATAGATCAGGAGATCCTCCAAGCCGCCGAAAGTAATCCTTCTCAGCAGCCCTGTCCGGAGAATAAAATCTTTGTTCCCTCGTCGCTTCGAGAAAGACTCATCTCCGAGGTACATGACCATCCCAGTTCCGGTCACCCAGGCAGCACAGCCACTGTGCAAATGATTCAATCCCGCTACTGGTGGTCATCCATACACAAGGATGTAATCAACTTCATTAACAAATGCTCACCCTGTCAGATGTCCAAACACTCCCGTCACCGTCCAGCTGGATTACTCCAACCCCTGGAGGTGCCACATCGTCCTTGGTCACACATCGCTATAGATTTCATCACCGATTTACCCATATCTCAGGGCAAAACCACCATCCTCACAGTAGTGGACCGATTTTCGAAATCCTGCCGCCTTATTCCCATTTCCAAACTGCCCACAGCCATGGAAACGGCTGAGTTACTCTGCGAGTGTGTGTTTCGGTACTATGGTCTCCCCGAAGACATCGTATCGGATAGAGGTCCCCAGTTTACATCCCGACTCTGGTCAGCATTCTTCAAAAATCTCCAAATCAACATCAGCCTAACATTCGGCTATCATCCCCAATCCAACGGGCAGACAGAGCGCTTGAACCAAGAGATCGGTCGATTCCTCCGCACGTATTGTCACTCGACCCAGAACGAATGGGCCAAATTTTTGATGTGGGCAGAATATGCTCAGAACTCCCTCAGAAAGGCATCTACTGGATTAACCCCATTTCAATGCGTGCTGGGCTTCCAACCTCCGCTCTTTCCCTGGTCCGGCGAGACCTCTGAACTCCCTGCGGTGGATACCTGGTTTAAAAACTGCGAAGAGGTCTGGAACGCAGCTCATACTCACCTCTCTCACGCCATAAGGCGTTTCAAGGAACAAGCCGATCGACACCGACGTCCTGGTCCCATGTATTCCCCAGGACAATGGGTATGGCTTTCCACCCGCGACTTACGCCTCAAGCTGCCCTGCAAGAAACTCAGTCCCAGGTACGTGGGTCCTTTCCAGATAGAAAGACAAATATCTCCTGTTTCGTTCAGACTGACACTCCCTAATCATTTTCGTATTTCCCCAACTTTCCATGTCTCTCTGCTCAAGCCTGCTGCTGGTCCAGCCGAGACGGATAGGGAGGTGGCAGCCGGTGAACAGGGTCCTCCGCCTCTCATGATCGATGGCGAAGAGGCTTACCAGATCCACGAGATCCTGAAATCCAGACGCCGGGGCGGTCAACTCCAATATCTCGTTGATTGGGAGGGGTACGGTCCGGAGGAGAGATCTTGGATTAACCGCAAGGACATCCTCGACACCACACTACTGGAAGAGTTCCACTCACAACATCCGGAGATGCCGGCCCCTCGCCCCCGTGGAAGACCCCGGCGTCGAGAATTGCCTCACTTCAGGAGCCGTTCGTTGGGGGGGGGCTCTGTCACCGACTCGGTCCCAGTCATTCCCCTCGCTGACCAGCAGAGGTCACCATCTCCGGACTTCTAACCATTACGTCATCCTTCTCACTCAGATCCCAGCACACCTGTTCTCCATCTCATTAATGACCCACGTACCACATATAAGCAGCTCACACACACACTTCATTGCGAAGTCTTGTTTAGCCCCGGCCAGCATTTCTGAGCATTCTATCCTGCCTGATCTCCCGTTTACCACTTCAGCCCGTTCCTCGACTCTGCTCTGTCTTCTGCCTGCCCTTGACCTAAAGCCTGATTACACGGACTCTGATTCTCGCTGCCTGCCCCTGACTAAAGCCTGTATTACGGACTCTGAACCACGCTGCCTGCCATTGACTCAAGCCTGGTAATCACTCTGCCTCTGTTATCTGCTAATCTTCGTTGAGTTGTATGTTGTATGTTCGCACAACCGTGCGAGGTGTTGATGTTTAAGTGTGACTTAATAAATACTGCAAAATGGATCCCTCCGTGTCAGTCTCCCCGTTACAAAATTGCTCTATTGTATTAAAATGTTATGGGCAAACTCTGTTTGCAGCTAAAATTTAAATAGTGTTGAGCAAAAGTAGTTACCAAAAGGCCTAATGAATCAATATGATGCATAATAAATTCATAAAAACATGTATATGGTATGAAAAATGGGGGGAGGGGGTGGAGTGATTTTTTTTATTTAATAAAATACAAATGTTATACGCATATAAAATGCTAAATAAACATAAAAAATATTTATTTTTATTATTTGAAACATTTAATATGGATAATTTCAAAAATAGTTTTGTCACAATGGCGCCCCCCCATGTGTGGTGCCCCTATGCGCCGCATATACTGCATACCCCTATTTTGCACCACTGAGTAGGAATAATAAAGGGCAGTAATCAGTCAATTTTCTTGCTCTGCAAACAATTGTGTTTATGAGAATACATAGCCATAAAACTCAATCAAGCAGCATTATGAGTTGTTTTTTAAAGATTAAAAATCAATAGATGCGAATGCCTCAATGGTTAGCACTGTCGCCTCACAGCAAGAAGGTTGCTGGTTTGGGCCAGGAGCTGTTTCTTTGTGGAGTTTGCATGTTCTCCCTGTGTTAGAGTTGTGGGTTTCCTCCGGGTGCTCTGGTTTCCCCCACAGTCCAAAGACATGCGCTATATGTGAACTACACTACAGTATACCATATGTAAGAATATGTGTGGGTGTAAAACATATGCTAGAATAGTTAGCGGTTCATTCCACTGTGGCGACCTCTAAAATAGACACTAAACCGAAGGAAAATGAATGAATGGATCCACTTGTATATGAAAGAATAAGGTCAATACTAAGAGGCTGTTGAATGCTTGATTCTGATTGGCCGATGAACATTCTAAGGTGTGTGGTTATTATCAGAAAAACGCACAGCTAAAGTAGTTAAAATTCGGTCAAAGTTCAGTCTAAAGTCTTTACAAAATACAAAATACAAGACAATTGTGACAATACAAAATAAAGAGGTGAATACAGGTTTGCAATATTAAGAAGCATAATGAGCTGAGTTTTAGGACTAAAAATCAAGGGATATGATTGTGAATATGTCCTCTTGTGTGTGAAAGAATAATGTCACCTTCTGGGGTGTGCTGATATTTTCAGATGAATGCACAGCTAAAGTAGATCTGGCAGGTTTTGACTCCATATGACCACGCTGAAAGATTTCAGTTATTTCACAGCTACCTCAGTCAAATATCACATCAAAACAAAAACTAGTCCTTCACACAGGTGTGAAAACCTGACAAAATATTTACAATTGAACATCTAAACATTTATTTGTATGTGGTAACCACAATAAAAGTGTAATACTTGACTGCAGTCTGTTGAATTATTAGAAAATAACGTAAATAGAGGTGATTTAATCATGATGCAAAGTGGAGTGGCAATTATACTATTGTCTAATAATTCAATGGTTTCAACTATTCCTTATAAAGTCACACTCATAGCTATGCATATCCTAGTGAAACATGAGAATGTGTCTGAATTTGACTGCTAATTTGACTGACTTCTTTGCTGCCCGCAAAGTCTATTTATTTTACCGACAGAAGGAAATGAAAAGCAAATCAGTTTGGTAGTTTTGTGCAACTGTTATGTTGCTTTTATAGCATTTATGTGTTGTGTGATATGCTGTAAACAGTCTGGAAAGTTATAAAGTGCATGCAAATATAGATATATTTATGTTGTCAAAGAGTGAATAAATAGCAGGTGCGATTGGGTGTGGAATAAAAGTGGGACTGAAAAAAACCCATCAATTTTTGATGTTCCCCACAGAATATTTCAGCTAATAGTTCATTAAATGCCAATATATGAGTGGTTGAGAAGAAATGTAGTAATTACATTTTACAGTGGTGCTTTTATTTATATTTATCTGAAATTCCCCCTCCAGAGATTTTTGATCTTTGATATGTAACCCTTAACAAAATTTGCATGGCAGGATCTGATCAAAGATAAACGTTTATGAATGCAAATAAGATTGTATCCGTTGACCTTGATACTTATATTGTATGACTTTTAGTTTTTAAGTTGTCATTTGAAAGTGTTTTTCATTCTGATGTGAATGAAAAAATAAATAAAAATTACATTACATTTGGTGTCTACTTACATGGTTACGTTCCTACTTTCTGTCATGATGTTGTCTTCACCATATTTGCCCAAGGAGAAAATGACACTGACAACAAAAGCAGGAGGAGCTGAAACAAATGATTGACAATGCGATTATAGTATTAGTAATTCTGAATTGATGATGTTTTATCTGCACACATATTACTTAATGTAGCTTTGTACAATGCTCATCATAAATGGATAAACCACTTTACAGATGTCTCTTTTAAATGATTTTTTTAGATTAACTATTGATGCATAGTAGTGAGAGAATTACAGTATCAAATATAAAGAATTACAAGACATCAACTGGTTCAATCTATCAGCAGAAAACCAAACTAGTTCACATTTTCCTAAATGCATATTTTCTATGGGATGCTTTATGATAATATGTATGTGCATATATATTAGATTAAAAGCCCAAACAAGATTTAATATAAGAAAATAAACTAAAGATAAGTCTGAAAATGTGTACAAATAAATTAATATGTTGGGGAAAATATGAAATCAATTTTTTAGAAACAAGAAAAATCAAGAGATGCAAAAAAAAGCTATTCCTAAAGATGTTCGGTAACCAAACTCTTATTTTAATGAATATAACCGTTTAATAAATACACAAAAAGTTGGCAATATTCACTGAGAAATGGATCAAAATATTTACTTTCAAAAAGGGTTTACTACTTATGCTGAGCACTGTACACTCACCGGCCACTTTATTAGGTACTCCTACTGCTTGTTAAAACAAATTTCTAATCAGCCAATCACATGGATTTAAGCATGTAGACATGGTCAAGACGATCTGCTAAAGTTCAAACCGAGCATCAGAATGGGGAAAGAAGGTTATTTAAGTGACATGAACATGGCATTTCTGAATGCACAACTTGTCCAACCTTGAGGCAGATGGTCTACAGCAGCAGAAGACCACACCGTGTGCCATTCCTGTCAGCTAAGAACAGGAAACTGAGGCTACAATTCACACGGGCATTGGGCAAATAAGATTGGAAAAACGTTGCCTAGACTGATGAGTCTCGATTTCTACTGCAACATTCAGATGGTCAGCATTTGGCATCAACAACATGAAAGCATAGATCCACCCTGCCTTGTATTGAAGTTTCAGGCTGCTGCTGGTGGTGTAATGGTGTGGGGGATATGCTCTAGCCACACTTTGGGCCCATTAGTGCCAATTGAGCATCGTGTCAACGCCCCAGCCTACCTGAGTATTGTTGCTGACCATGTCCATCCCTTTATGATCACAGTGTACTCATCTTCTGATGGCTATTTCCAGCAGGATAACACGCCATGTCATAAAGCGCCAATCATCTCAGACTGGTTTCTTGAACATGGCGATTAGTTCACTGTACTCTAATGGCCTCCACAGTCACCAGAGCTCAATCCAATAGAGCACCTTTGGGATGTGGTGGAATGGGAGATTCGCATTATGGATGTGCAGCCGACAAATCTGCAGCAACTGCGTATTTCAGTATGGAGCAAAATCTCTTAGGAATATTTCCAGTACGTTGTTAAATCTAAGGATTAAGGCAATTCTAAATGCGAAAGTGTGTCCAACCCGGTACTAGTAAGGTGTACCTAATAAAGTAGCCGGTGAGTGTATATGCCATATAGTTCAAGTAAAAAAAAACTCCATTACAGTTCATGCAACTTTTGTCAAAACTGAGCAACTCAGGAAGTACATTTGAGTTTTTTGGACTCACCCCATCCAGCCACAGTGATCTTGAGAAGGTAATGTTTGAGGGTAGCTGTTTTGGTCATTTGCAGACAGAGATGCAAAGCCTCCACCGCAAACCAGGTGAAACTAGAGAGTAAGCAATAGTGCAAGAATGCAGCCATGACCCTGCATAAGATGGAGTTTTGGGCTTGTACCACATATTCATTGGTCAGAAAGGCCACATTGAGCATGAACAGTGCCAGGAAAAGATTAATCAGCACATGGACTGAATTAGTGGCCTTTGCTTTCCTGAAAATTAAAAATGCAAAGTTTAGTTAGTTTTGAACAGCAGATGGCGCTCTAGAATAGTTTTGAACAGCAGATATACGCTCTAGAATAGTTTTGAACAGCAGATGGCGCTCTAGAATAGTTTTGAACAGCAGATGGCGCTCTAGAATAGTTTTGAACAGCAGATGGCGCTCCAGGCTAGTTTAGTTTTAATATTAGATGTGCTTGTGGTTAGTTTTGAAAAGCAGATGGAGCTCTAGGCTAGTTTTGAACAGCAGATGGCGCTCTAGAATAGTTTTGAACAGCAGATATACGCTCTAGAATATTTTTGAACAGCAAATGGAGCTCTAGGCTAGTTTTGAACAGCAGATGGCGCTCTAGAATAGTTTTGAACAGCAGATATACGCTCTAGAATATTTTTGAACAGCAGATGGCGCTCTAGAATAGTTTTGAACAGCAGATGGAGCTCTAGGCTAGTTTTGAACAGCAGATGGCGCTCTAGAATAGTTTTGAACAGCAGATATATGCTCTAGAATATTTTTGAACAGCAGATGGCGCTCTAGAATAGTATTGAACAGCAGATGGAGCTCTAGGCTAGTTTTGAACAGCAGATGGCGCTCTAGAATAGTTTTGAACAGCAGATGGAGCTCTAGGCTAGTTTTGAACAGCAGATATACGCTCTAAAATATTTTTGAACAGCAGATGGCGCTCTAGAATAGTTTTGAACAGCAGATGGAGCTCTAGGCTAGTTTTGAACAGCAGATGGCGCTCTAGAATAGTTTTGAACAGCAGATGGAGCTCTAGGCTAGTTTTGAACAGGCTAGTTTTGAACAGCAGATGGCGCTCTAGAATAGTTTTGAACAGCAGATGGAGCTCTAGGCTAGTTTTGAACAGCAGATGGCGCTCTAGAATAGTTTTGAACAGCAGATGGAGCTCTAGGCTAGTTTTGAACAGCAGATGGCGCTCTAGAATAGTTTTGAACAGCAGATGGAGCTCTAGGCTAGTTTTGAACAGCAGATGACACTCCAGGCTAGTTTAGTTTTAACATTAGATGTGCTTTTGGTTAGTTTTGAACAGCAGATAGAGCTCTAGGCTAGTTTTAAACAGCAGATGATAAGTACAGCTAAGTATTTTAGGTTCAAGTTTTATTAGTAAGGAATTGGATGCAAGCAGATTACAGCTGTTTGTAAAGCATAAAAATATCATCATTTATGAAATCAGTATCTGGATTGCCACAGCTCTAATCAGAGGTACAAAAGGTAAACAATATATACAGCATTTTATTGTGAAGTTTATGTAAAATGTATTAAAATAAATAGTTTCACTACATTTACTCTCTGTATATTCTCTATAATGTCATAAAAAGCTGAATTTCCAGCATCATTAATCCAATCTTCTGTCATATGATCATTGAGAAATCATCATCATCACTTGTTATAATTAAGACACTTATTTATAAAACATAAAAAAATCTTAATTATCACGCATCACCTCATGAGGAAGTGCATGAAGAGTCCAACCCCCAGAAAAAACATGGAGAGGCCGCAGCCGATGTAGGTGATGTAGGTGAGAGCGGTGAGGTCACTTTCTCGAAGGGTTATATCTGGAGGCGCCTGAATTAAAACAGCATTCAGTTATACAGGTCTGTGTGTGAATATTCACAAACAAGCTCAAACAGCAGAGCTTGTAAACAGCGTGGTTCTACAAATTCCATAGTTTCGATTTCCAGAAAAAAGCAAGTACTGCTAAAGCGCATACCTTCAAGCTGCTTTGGATAAAAGTGTTGGTACCACTTTATTTTGATGGTCCATTTTAGTATTAGTAGACTGTCTGCTTAATATCTGCTGATACTGCTCCTTTAACAGACATTTAACTGACTATAAGAAATTTTGCAAGTACATGTCAACTTACACTAACCCCAACCTAACAGTCTAATTATAATCTAATGAGAATTAGTTGGCATGTAGATGCAATGCAACTTAAATACAACGAAGGGACCATCAGAATATATATATATATATATATATATATATATATATATATATATATATTCTCCTTATTTTTGAACACATCTATAATTATGTAGTGGCACAGAGTTAGACCTCTTTCTTGACTTCACACAGAAACAGGAAAACGTGCGGCATGACATCACTTTGTTGCAGAGGCGCTATTGGTTAAATACCAGCAAAATTAAAACACGAAAGCAGTTTGAAGCGGAACCGCGATTATGTCTGTGGTCTAAAGTTATTATAAAGTTGATGAGACTTTTAAGAGCCGTTGTAAACGTCCCTGATGAAAACAGAAACAGGCTCAAACCTAAGAAGGTAGAGATTTTAGTTTTCATTAAGAAAAACATACATTTCCTTCTGTGAAACTTACTACTGTGATGACAGCAAGAGTTAGGGGTGCAGTTCCTAAAAGCACATCACTGGCTTTGCAAACACTGTGGTACTTTTATCTATTTATTTTTGTTTACATGCCTGCTGGGTATTTTAAGTTAAGCTGCTGTTTGTTTTTATATTAAATTTTTGTTATATTTACTGTTAACTCAAATTCAACTGAAAGCTAATTCTACTCATTTGAAAAGAGTTTTGAACTCAGTGTTAAAAAAAAATGAGTTAGCAAAAACCTCATTACTTCAACTTAAATGGAGTAAGTTCACAGTCCTCATATAGATTAGTTTTTAACTCAAATGGTTTGTAGCAATCAGTTTCCTCAAATGGTTTGAGTTGCCGTAACTTATTGGGTTTTACTGTGCTCAGCTGGTTTGAGTTCTCTTCATTTATTGGGGTTTACTGTGCTCAAATTGCTTTGTTTACTCAAATGGATTAAGTTCACAGTACTCAGTTGGATTAATTTTTGAACTTAAATGGTTTGTTGCAATCGGTTTCTTCAAATAAGGTACTTTGAGTTACCTTAACTTTTTTGGTTTTACAGTGTACTTGATTGTTCAAGCTACCTCATAGCATGACCTCTGTTTGTTAGCTAAAATAAGATTATTTTGCTGATCCCATTGTCTAATTATTTTGTTTGTTTTAAGAAAAAAACTCAGTTAATCATATTATTTAGTAAAACACAACAATATGAGTTGCTTGTCTAGAAAATGTTTCTTAATTTAAGATTTTTTAGTTACTTGGAGAAAAATTGTTTGATTTGGGACATGTGGAGCTGCACATCCATATATTTCCTCTTCAGTGTTTGTACTCTCAGCAGTGAAAATTGACCCACACTGAACTGAACCTAACTGAACTTTTTGTTGAAAACAGTTGCTGTTTTCACTGTACAGTGTGGAATCTATAACTAATGTTTTCTTTATTTGCATGTATTATAGTTGTATAACTTTGTCTAAGTTCCTATTTTGTACATTTATTTTGTTTATTGTTCCATCATTTATTTCTAATTGATAATCCTTTTTTAGGTCGCGGAGTACTTGTACAGTATAAGCATTTTACTGCATATCTTACTGTAATGTTTATGACTGTGTATGTGACAAATAAAAATATGAAAGGGCGCTGTACAGGGAGTCAGTCGGACTCACTCAATCACAAAATTGTTCCACTGCACTAAAACTTTTGCTCCCTTGAGTCACCACTATTCACTGTGAAAACTAGGGAGCATCGAAGTTCACTATGGCTGTATCTAAAATCGCCCCCTATATCCTGTATAGGGGTATAATGAAAAATGAATACTAATTTTAATACGTTATTAGTTGCAAAATTAAACAAAACATTTATTGCCCAACTTTAATTGATGGGTGTAACACGTGCAATTAGAAATGTCAGCAAAATGATTGTTTAAATGTTATTAGTCCTAAAGCATTTAACACAGGATCGCATTTTCATCATTAAACCCTGGAATGTTTGTAGTAAAATTCAGAGTGTATTTCAAAATGCATTCTGAGCCAAAGATATAGCAAAAAGGTATCTTTAATATTAATATATTGATACTCACTCTCATTAGTTGGTATGAAACGCAAGTTACGATTGTTCGTTTTTCCCCTTTTGTGATATACATCCTCTTGAAATGATTTCTGAAATGAGAAAAAAATGTGGGCCGGTGCTTGACTTTGTTCCTTGGGAACCGATTGGATTGTTGGACAATGGGCGTTGCTAACAAAAGGGAGGAAGATTTGAATGCCAGTTCTGGAGGATTAGAGTCCACCCGAATTACTGTCAGATGTTCGATGATGACGAGAACCAGTCAATGACTAAATTTTTCAGACGGAAACGTATATTCGTTTACCCATCCCTAAAGAATCGACAGCATTACCCTAAATGACTGAAATCCACACTTTAAGTGAACGATAACTCCTCCCTAGAAGATGGATAGCTCCGCACTAAATAACTGATAATCTCACTCTAAATGACTGATAGTCTTGCCGTAAATGACGAATAGCCCCACTCTAAATGACTGATAGCCCCTCCCAAAAGATAGTTAGCCCCACCCTAAATGATTGATAGCCCCTCCCCCAAAGACTGATAGCCCTACCCTAAATGACTGATAGCCCCTTCCTAAAAGACTGACAGCCACACCCTAAATACCTGATAATCCTTCTCCAAAATATTGATAGCCCTGCCCTAAATGACTGCCCCTCTTCAAAAGACTGTTAGCCCCACTTTAAATGACTGATAGCCCCTCCCCAAAACTGTTAGCCCCACCCTAAATGACTGATATTCTTGCGTAAAAGATGGATTGTCTTACCCTAAATGACTAATAGCTCCTCCTCAAAAGACTGATAGCCCTGCTGTAAAATACAGATAGCCCCACCCTAAATGACGGATAGCCCCACCCTAAAGTAAAGATAGCCCCACCATAAACGACTGATAGCCCCTTTCTAAAAGACTGATAGCCCTGCTGTAAAATACAGATAGCCCCACCATAAACGACTGATAGCCCCTTTCTAAAAGACTGATAGCCCTGCTTTAAAATACAGATAGCCCCACCATAAACGACTGATAGCCCCTTTCTAAAAAACTGATAGCCCTGCTGTAAAATACAGATAGCCCCACCCTGAATGACTGATAGCCCCTCTCCAAAAAACTGATAGCCCTGCTGTAAAATACAGATAGCCCCACCCTGAATGACTGATAGCCCCTCTCCAAAAAACTGATAGCCCTGCTGTAAAATACAGATAGCCCCACCCTGAATGACTGATAGCCCCTCTCCAAAAGACTGATAGCCCTGCTGTGAAAGACAGATAGCCCCACCCTGAATGACTGATAGCCCCTCTCCAAAAGACTGATAGCCCTGCTGTAAAATACAGATAGCCCCACCCTAAATGACGGATAGCCCCACTCTAAAGTAAAGATAGCCCCACCATAAACAACTGATAGCCCCTTTCTAAAAGACTGATAGCCCTGCTGTGAAAGACAGATAGCCCCACCCTGAATGACTGATAGCCCCTCTCCAAAAGATTGATAGCCCTGCTATGAAAGACAGATAGCCCCACCCTGAATGACTGATAGCCCCTTTCTAAAAGACTGATAGCCCTGCTGTAAAATACAGATAGCCCCACCCTGAATGACTGATACCCCCTCTGCAAAAGACTGATAGCCCTGCTGTAAAATACAGATAGCCCCACCCTAAATGACTGATAGGGCCTCTTCAAAAGACTGATAGCCCCACTCTAAATAACTGATAGCCCTCCCCTAAAGACTGATAGTCCCGCCTTAAATGACTGATAGCCCCACCCTAAATGACTGATAGGTCCTCTCCAAAAGACTGATAGCCCCTCCCCTAAAGAGTGATATTCCCACCTTGAATGACTGATATACCCACCCTAAGCCCTGCTGTACAAGACTGATAGCTCCGCCCAAAATGACTGATAGCTCTGCACTAAATGACTAATATCGCCGCCATAAAATACTGATAGCCCTGCGCTAAAAAACTGATAGCCCCACCCTAAAAGACTGATACCCATGTCCCAAAGGAACTCCATGTGTCCAAAAAAAAGCCGTTTGGAGGGGGGAGGGAGGGTAATGGTATTTGACTAAATATTATGAGGGAAATTTTTTTTTAAAAGAATGAAGTGCGCAGGTACTTAGTTTATCTCCACTACATACATATGAAAGTAACAATAGCAAATGTAGATTTCATGCTCAAAAATACATTTAATTCGCAATTTTGCAACCTTTTTGCTATACCTTTGGCTAAGAATGCATTTTGAAATAAGCACTGAATTTTGCTCCAAATATCCCTTAAAGCTTCCAGAAGAAAAAAAAAATTGAGAACCTACCATAAGCACAGCGAAGAAAGTCAAGTGTTCACATTTGCATGTTATCCCACTTCCGTTAACCACAGTTCTGCACCCCTCAGTTGTCCAGTCTGGCTTACTCCCTGAAAAAAGGGGGGATGGGTTAGTTTTAAGCTGAAATAGAGATGAATTTTCATTGATATGTTCATTATAACACATCTAATTGTATACATCTTGTATCTCTCTCTCGATTAACCTCAGAACTGTTTACTTCACCTCATTCTACTCCATTCTCATCTCCTATTCTGCACTACTATTTATTTATCATCTTACATTTACATATTATATCTTGTACATACAGTTGAAGTCAGAATTATTAGTCCCCCTTTCTATTTTGTTTTCTTTTTTTTTATATATATTTCCCAAATTATGTTTTACAGAGCAAGGAAATTTTCACAGTATGTCTGATAACATTTTTTCTTCTGAAGAACGCCTTATTTGCTTTATTTTGGCTAGAATAAAAGAAGTTTTAAATTTTTAAAATCCATTTTAAGGTCAAAGTTATTGGCCCCCTTAAGCTATTTTTTTTAAAGATTGTCTTGAATTACCCTAACCTGCCTAGTTAACCTAACTAACCTAGTTAAGCCTTTAAATGTCACTTTAAACTGTATAGAAGTGTCTTGAAAAATATCTAGTCAAATATTATTTACTGTCATCATGGCAAAGATAAAATAAATCAGTTATTAGAGATGAGTTATTAAAAACATTATGTTTATAAATGTGTTGAAAAAAATCTCTCCGCTAAACAAAAATTGGGGGAAAAAATAAAAAAGGGGGGCTAATAATTCTGACTTCAACTGTATCTCTCGTTCAACCTCAAAACTGTTTACTTCACTTTATCCTACCTCACCTCTCATCCCCTATTTTGCATTACTGTTTATAGTCTACAGTTATTTCTACTGTAACTCGTTGTTTAGTGTGGTCTGTACAGTAAGGATAGAGTTTCATGTTTAGTAGTGAGTAGTGAGATGCACTTCTCATCGCATATGTATATAATGTACATTGTATATGTGTACAGTGACAATAAAAAGCATTCCATTCCATTACTTTTATTGTATGATTAGAAATCCCTGTTGTCTAGTGCCTTTAAACTATCTATTAAACTTCAGACTCGTTTCTTCTTGCTAGAGTACAAATTCAATGTTGAAGTATAACAAAAAATTAAGAATCAAAATTAGGACGTTTCAGACGTTAAGTTTTCTTAATATTAGTGCTGTGAAACAATGTACACTGTATTGTGTTATCTAAAAGTAAATGGAAACATGTTTAAATACACCCTTTTTCCTAAGAAAAATGTTTAGCATTTTATTTAAAGTTTGTAGAAATCTTATCTGTAGTTTGCAGAATTAACAAAAAAAATTTACTCAAACATCCAACTATAGACAGTAAATAAAAAAACTGCAAATTTTCAAGTTTTTATCAGTTTTTATGTATGAGCATTACAGAAATGATTGTCTGAATGCTTTCAGTAAAGCACTATATTTCATAAACATCTTCCCTTTACTTCAAACTGCAGCTTTACAATTATCTAAATACACAAAAAGGTTTACAGACCATTTCCATCCCATGAGTAACATGTAGGAGTTCCCGACGTGCTCTGTGAAAAAATACATCAGAATTTCATCAAATGAGATTTTGGCTCATTTAGAAGTCAGAATTATTAGACCCCCTGAATTATTAGACCCCCTGAATTATTAGACCCCCCGTTTATTTTTTCCCCAACCTCTGTTTAATGGGGAGAAGATTCCCTCAACACATTTATAAACATAATAGTTTTAATAACTCATTTCTAATAACTGATTAATTTTATCTTTGTCATGATGACAGTAAATAATATATGACTAGATATTTTTCAAGACACTTCTATACAGCTTAAAGTGACATTTAAAGGTTTAACTTGGTTAATTAGATTAACTAGGCAGGTTAGGGTAATTAGGCAAGTTGTATAATGATGATTTGTTCTGTAGACTGTCGAGAAAAAAATAGCTCAAAGGGGCTAATAATTTTGTCATTAAAATGGTTTTCAAAAATTTTACAACTGCTTTTATTCTGGTCAAAATAAAACCAAGACTTTCACCAGAAGAAAAAACATACTGTGAAACATACATTGTCAGACATACTGTGAACATTTCCTTGCTCTGTTACACATCATTTGGGACATATTAAAAAAAAAGAAAAAAAAAATCAAAGGGGGGCTAATAATTCTGTATATTTGTCCCACATTTCTGCTTACCTGACTCATGTTGAAGCTCAAATTGATGGTGTTACTCAGATTTTTGATTTTTGTCCCCATTTCGATTGCGTAAACTTCATTGTTCAAAACATCACTATTGTTTGCATCCTTAAAGCAGAAAAGAAACTGAATTAACTTTTTTTTCTGATTACACTGAAATTTAGCTTGTATTTAGAAACATGGTATTAAAATGCATTTTCATAAGTATGATTAAATAAATGAGCATAAATGATGTCTAAAATATATTTTGAAGGACAAGAAAAAGCAGAACTTTTATGGCATTATATATTTTCATGGGATAATATAATATTAAAATAATATGGTAAAATAATGATATTACAATGGTGTTAGTTTGATTATAGTTTTGCATGAGAACCATGAGACACATTGAGAACAGAATGAAAAATTTACCTCAGATTTTTAAAACCTTTCTAGCTGTGAAGTGTTCTCTCTCTTATGTTTGATAGATAATAGTAGTTTTACAAACTTTACAATTAGCTTTCTACATTTATATTTTGACACCTATTATATAAAGTGATAATTTTAAAGTCAAAGCTCTTAAAATTAATATTATCCCAGCATGTTAGCTTTAAGGACCCGGCATACTTCAAATGACCTTCAAAAAAACCCTTGCGCTACAGTAGGTGGGGTTGTAAATGTGTCATGCATATAGAGGTTATGCTGCTCCCATGTACCCTAAATACAACAATGGCAGCTGAGAGAGAAGAACAACTTCATAAACATCTGACAAAGAGACTAATCTACAAGACAGCATCATATTTTTACTTTTAATTTAGTATGTAAGCCCCTTTGAGTCTTTAAAATATTTATAGTGTTCGTGCATGTGTGGATACATCTGTACCAGCTTTGCTTCTCATCTCTACAGAGAATTCTGTAGAGACATGTCAATGTCGCATGTCAATTAAGTAACCAATAAAGGCTCAAAGGTGTTTAGAAGCCTAATCAATCTGCCCCCAAAAGTTTGCTTTGGTGAGCTGCTTCAATTCAAACTGCCGAACTCAAAACAAACTTAATTTTGGCCAGATTTTATTTGAAATTACATAACTTCAACCTGTTCTTCAATTTCATTTGAAGTATACAGGAAACTTTAGTTAATACGGTATAGGAAAAATTCCATCAGATAAAAGTGAACAAAAAAAAAAAAAAAATCCCTGATATTCCATGACGTGAAGAAAGATTGATAACACTTTAGAATAATAGACCATTAGTTAATAATAGTTATTGTATTTATTAACATTAACCAAGTATGAATAATCTTGTAAAGCAATAATTAATCATAGTTCAACATTTACGAATGCATTATTAAAATCCAAATTTGAGCTTGTTAACATTAGTTAATATGAACTAACCTTATTAAACTTACATAACATTAACTAGCATTAACAGACATGATCAAATACCGTAATTTATGTATTACTAATAGTTTGTTCATGTTAGTAAATACATTAATTAACATTAATGAATAAACCTTTATTTTAAAGCAGATCCCATTTTACATGTTATAGCTCATAGATTGATTAATGCCATTGCTTCACCGCACTATACACATTTTCTCTGGAGTTTCATGTATTTCGAGTGTTTAATTTTTAATTTTTCGACAATTCTACACTTTCACTTTCTTTCAGAAACATTTCATTCATGCCCCTCGTGACAAACTGAGTTATTGTATGCGAGTATGAATTAAGGACTGGTGGAGGAGTGGTGCTTTAATGGAATTTAATACCGCATGCTGAATGGGACAAAAAAACCTTGGCATTTTGCGGTGTGTGTGTCTGTGGTCCTTCACTGACTAGATAGGTGCAGAGAATATACAGCAGTGTGTGTATGAAATATCTTGTTGAAAAACGTGGCAAAAATGCTACATGACGGTAATAGTTTGATTGCGGTGTTTACATGTCTGTACTGCACTGCAATAATATGTCTACAATCGGCATACTCAAGAGGAGAAGGGAAGGAAAAGATGTGGTAGAATAAAAGTGTACAATCAATAGGGATAACCGTACCCTGGAGAAAACTGTGAAACAAAACCCATTCAAAAAGGTGGGGGAGATTCACAAAGAGTGGACTGCAGCTGGAGTCAGTGCTTCAAAAACTAGCATTCACAGTTGTATGCAAGACATGGGTATATAATAAATAATCTCTAATGTGCATTCCTCAATAAAAAAATTACATCAAAAATCGCTGTTTACATAGCGAAGCAGTGGGTAGTGCTGTTGCCTCACAGCAAGAAGGTCGCTAGTTTGAGCCTTGGCTGCGTAAAACATGTGGTGGTTAAGTAGGTGGTTCATTCCGCTGTGGTGACCCCGGATTATTAAAGGATTTAAGCCAAAAAGAAAATGACTGAATGAATAAATTGTTGTTTACATGGTAAACTCTTAATCAGAGTATTGTCTTAATCATATTAAAATCAGATTACTGGTGTCCATATAAATGTACTCGTTGTGTTGCCCGAAATGATCAGAATGGTATAGTTAGAATACATATCAGCATTTACAGAACAAAATAAACCAAATACGGGGGATTTTCATCTACCTTTGGAAGTGTTAAACAATGAACTCAAAATGAAGCTCACAACGACTCAGAATTTTGTGTGATTAAATAGTTGTTTTTTAGTAATTTTTTTAAATCTTGCAACTGCGAAAAAGTCAGAATTGGGAGACAGAAGGATTCATTTATCTTTTTCATTTTTAAATAATAGCCTATGTAATGCACTTGAGCTAGCACTAAACAGATTTAAACTTTTGCTATCCTGCATAAAACCATTGAAAGTGACAAGCTTAATCATACCTTTGACATGTTAGGAAATCTAAACACCCCCAGAAAAGCATTTGAGCTCTGGTTGAGGGCTTGCTGTGCTGCTTCCTTTGGTACAATTAAAGCATTTGGATAGTTCTTCAGTACGGTAGGATCATCTATAAGCTGTAAACATAAGGTGATTTACATGCTGAGATACAAACATGTTTTGTCAACACAACACTAAATTAAATATTATTTAATTGACAGAATCAAAGTGCATATGTGGTCTGTTCACTTACTCTGACGCCAGTTGCTGGAGAGTAAATGAAAGCGGTTTCCGTGACTTCAGACTCACTTTGAATTTTCTTCAAAATACCTTTAACGCTACCCATGGATACAGATGCTACAGTCAAATTTCCCATGTAAGACAGCATGCTGGAGAGATCTTTCATGGCCGAACTGAACGAAATACAAAATCATTAATTGTTTTATCTTATTTAACATGTTTAAAAAGAAACTGATTCATTTGAGAGCAGGCTTTTTATAGTACACAAAAATTTAAATCATAAAACCATAATTTACTTCAGATGTTTCAAATAATTCTCAGGTTATGTTGTGTAACTTTAAAGTGCATCCAGAAAGTATTGATAGGGCTTCACTTTTTCCACATTTTTTATGTTACAGTCTTATTCCAAAATGAATTAAATTGATTTATTTCCTTAAAATTCTACACCCAATACCCCATTATGACAATGTGAAAAAGAGTTTTTGAAATTGTTGCAAATTTACTTTTTTTTTATTGAGCATATATATATTATACAATTTCAGTCAACAATATAAAAAAGGCTCAAATATTTTTGTGTAAATATACATACAAAACAAAGCAGAAAAGACAAACAATGTGGAAGTAGAATACAATTTTGTAGCAAGTAGTACAATAAGAGTTTATATATATATATAAAACACATTTTACACATACTGATTGTAAGAAGTCTATGAAGGGTTGCCAAATATTATAAAAACCTGAGAGATTTTCCTTTAACAGATATCTAATTCTTCTAGATGTAAAGTATTGGAGAGATCTCGAAGCCACATTTTGTCAGTAGGTATCGTTGGTCCTTTCCATGACATCAAAAGTATTTTTTTAGCAGTAATAAGAGAGTAGGAAATGAACAGCTGTTGAGCTGAAGTAAATTTTCTAAATAACTCTGATGTGCCAAGAATAATCAACAATGGTTCAGGTAACAGTGTAGTCTTAAAAATTCTTGACAGTACATTAAATACATCAGACCAGTAGCTTGTGACCTTCGGGCAAGAAAAAAAGCATGGAAAAGTGTTGCATTAAGGGACTGACATTTATTACAATTTGATAAAGCGTTTGGGAAAATGTTGTGGATCTTTATTTTTAAAAAGTGAAGCCTATGTATAATTTTGAATTGTATAAGACGATGTCTCATATTATAGGAGCAGGAATGTATGTGTTCCAAAGATTCTTCCCAGATGTCATCAGGAATATGGGTACCCATGTCCTTCTCCCAGCTATCCTTATATTTCTTGGATGAGGGGGGGGGTATTGTTTGTAATTTGTTATAAATATTAGAGATAAATTAATTTTTATATGGGGATATAGTGCAACATCCAACAAGCATAGATTGTGGCTGTGTATCGAAATCTGGCATGAATTTTTAAATGTAATCTCTAACCTGTAGATATCTAAAGAAATTATTGTTATGTAATTTGAACTTTGTTTGCAAATTGTGCAAAGGAAGCAAATTTACCCTCAATATCCAGGTCACGGATACAACATAATCCTAATTTCCTCCAATTAGTAAACGTCAGATCTAAATTAGAAGGGGGAAAGGATGGATTTTTAGCAATTGGTAGAAAATTTACTAAATAAAAAATCTGAAAAAATCACATGTACAGAAGCTTTGACAGCCTTTGCCGTAAAGCTATAAATTGAGCTCAGGTCCATTCTGTTTCCACTGTTCATTCTTCAGATATTTCAACATCTTAATTGGAGTTCACCTGTGATAAATTCAGTTGACTGGACTAATTTGAAAAGGCATACACCTGTCTATATAAGGTCCCAGGGTTGACAGTGCATGTCAAAGCACAAACCAAGCATGGAGACAAAGGAATTGTCTGTAGACCTCTGAGACAGGATTGTCTCGAGGTACAAGGCTGGGGAAGGTTACAGAAAAATGACTGCTGCTCGGTAAGTTCCAATGAGCACAGGGGGCTCCATCATCAGTGAGTGGAAGATGTTTGGAACCATCAGGACTATTCCTAGAGCTGGCCAGCCATCTAAGCTGAGTGATCATGGGAGAAGGGCCTTAATCGGGGAGGTGATCAATAACCCGATGGCCACTCTGTCTGAGCTCCAGCGTTCTTCTGTGGAGAGAGGCGAACCTTACAGAAAGACAACCATCTGTGCAGCAATCCACCAATCAGGCCTGTATGGTAGTGTGGCCAGACAAAAGCCACACCCCACCTGGAATTTGCCAAAAGGCTTCTGAAGGACTCTCAGACCATAAGAAACAAAACTATCTGGTCTGATGGAACTAAAATTGAACTCTTTGGAGTGAATGCCAGGCGTTACGTTTGGAAAAAAACAGGCACCACTCATCACCAAGCTAATACCATCCCTACAGTGAAGCATGGTGGTCATGCTGTGGGGCTGTTTTTCAGCAGCAGGAACTGGAAGACTATTTAGGATAGAGGAAAAGATGAATGCAGCAATGTACAGAGACATCCTGAATGAAAACCTGCTTCAGAGTGCTCTTGACCTCAGACTGGGGCGACGGTTCATCTTCCAGCAGGACAATGACTTAAATCACACCACCAAAATATCAATGTAGTGGCTTCACAACAACTCGGTAAATGTCCTTAAGGGGCCCAGCCAGAGCCCAGACCTAAATCCTATTGAACATCTCTGGAGAGATCTGAAAATGGCTGTACATCGTCATTTCCCATCCAACCTGACAAGAGCTTGAGAGGTACTGCAAAGAGGAATAGGCAAAAATGGCCAAAGACAGTTGTGCCAAGCATCATATTCAAAAAGACTTGAGGCTGTAATCGCTGCCATAGGTTCATCAGCAAAGTGTTGAGCAAAGGCCTTGAATACTTCTGTACATCAGATTTTTCAGCTTTTTTATTTTTAATAAATTTGCAACAATTTAAAAAAAAATTCACATTGTTATTATGGGGTATCGTGTTTAGAATTTCGAGGAAATAAATTAATTTTATCCATTTTGGAATGAGGCTGTACCACCTGCAAAGGCCTTTAAATGGTCTCTCAGTCTAGTTCTGTAGCTTAAGACACAAAAGGTCATTGCAAAAGAGGCTGGCTGTTCACAGAGCTCTGTATCCAAGCACATTAATAGAGAGGCGAAAGGAAGGAAAAAGATGTGGTAGAATAAAAGTGTACAATTAATAGGGATAACCGCACCCTGGAGAGAACTGTGAAACAAAACCCTTTCAAAAAGGTGGGGGAGATTCACAAAGAGTGGACTGCAGCTGGAGTCAGTGCTTCAAAAACCACTATTCACAGATGTATGCAGGACATGTGTATATAATAAATATTTTATAATGTGCATCCCTCAATTAAAATATTAGGTGCAGGATTAGAAACTAACAGAAGAGGGCAATAAATGTTAAAATGAAGATTACATTTTTCCATTTATTGAAGATAAAAATGTATATATTATTCATCTAAACCTTATTAGATTCAAAATATGTACATTTTAAAAAGTACTTACGCAGCTGCCCCAGCATCAATCACTGTTTTAGTATCATTTTGATTAAATTTTTCTGTTATTTCTGCAGGTAAAGTGATTGTTTGCGCAGGCTGAAAAGGATTTCCACACTTAATACAAGCTGCACTGCCTCCATTGATTTCAAATGTGTTCATTTTATTGCTAACATTATTTGAATTATCATCTGTGAAAAATATAAAAATAAATAATTAAAAGCAATATGGAGCATTTGTGTAAAGTTCTGAAAGTGAATATTGCTAAAAGTAGGCATATTATACTTTCTTACCGCTACAGCTGGGATTGTATGATGCTGTTTCACATGCCTTTTTGGTATTCAGACAGGTCACATTACATGCTAACATACACAAAAAGAACAATATTACAAATAATATACAGCGTATGAAAAAAGCAAATAACACAGTGAATGTCACATTTATCACTGTCTTTCTAACAGTAAATCAGTCCACTTACTAACACATCTTTTAATCTGATATAATATTTATACATTTTTGGGTTAGTACTCACTGTTGTTGTTGAAAGAAGTAGTGGTCTGTTCAGTCCAACTACAATCTTTAACAAAGAGAACAGAAACAAGCTTTTGAATACAATGGTTTAATTTGAGAAGGTTTCTGTTACCTAAAATCATGTACCCTCTTTATTTTACAAAGGAACATACAAATACTGCTTTTCAGTAAAATGATAAGTAAAATGAATTATCATTTTATTTACTGTTTCCAGTAATCCAGTTTGCCCAGGTCACATTTCTGCAGCCCTTTCCAATTAAACAGACAATTGTGGGTAGAACTGATCTGCTTATGTTGAGTTGGTATATGTCGGTATATGCTGTGTCTTTTCTTGGAAAAGAAACTCCCAAATCTGCAAAACAACAGGTTAGAAAACATGTTTTTTTAAAGTAAATTCCCAGGTTTTGTTGCTTAAAGCACTAGTTTCTCACCCCAAAAACTTTCCAACTCACCACTTCTGAATATTGTTGCCTTTTTAGAGGTTGAACTTCCATCAATTGGAAAAACACAGATGCTTGAGTTCTTTTCTGAATGAAACAAAAAGCAGTAAGACTTTACAATAAAGTTTCATTAGTTACTGTTGATTAAGATATTTACTAACATGAATAAGCAGTGAATTATAAATTGATTACTGTATTTAGTTTAAATACTGTTGTTTATTGCCAGTGGTGTAAAGTAACAAATTACAGATACTCAAATGACTGTAATTGAGTAGTTTTTTCTCAGCAATTGTAATTTACTAGTTATAAAAATGTGTATTTACTTTCCCTTGACTAAATTTTTCGAGCAGTATCGGTACTTTGACTCCACTACTTTCCTTCAACTGGCAGTCACTACTTTATTTTTTCTTGTCTATGGGAATTCCAATCAAATCGCACATAGAAGGTGAATCGCATCATAATGAACTACATTAAAACATGGGCGATTTATAATTTGTAAGCATCACAAGTATCCAAGAAGATGTCCACAATCTTTACACCCATTGACCCAGAGACTGTTTAGATGCATGTCACTGATGTGAAGATGACGAATGTTTACTTTATGTTGACTGAAATTACCTTAAACACCCATCAGGCACAAGACGTCAACATAACGTCAGATTGACGTTGTACCCCACTTTCTAATACAACCTACAATCAACCAAATATCAACGTCATTGTCAGGGTTTCAGGAAGGATGAGGGAGCGAGGACTCAAGTGCAAATGCAGGATAATTTATTGATAATAGAAATAAAATAAAAGAACAACAAAAACCACCCAGAGGGGGAAAAACATAACTTTAACACTAACAAACTTGGCACAACAAGAACAAGGCAAGACTGGAGCAGGAACATGGGGAGTGTAGACAACGAACTGGCACAGGACTCAAAACATGAGGGGATTTTAAAGCAAAAGTAAATTGACACAAACAGGTGAACATGACAAACTAATAATGAGTTAACAAGGAGGGTGGGACTAGACAATAGACGGGAGAGCGCATGACACAGAGAGACAACACAAGCCATCTGTCTCACTGAAGCATGTCTCACATAAGCATTTAGCTCGTCAAACTGGTCGTGGTGGTGGAGTTGCATGAAGTATTAGCGCTTAATGTTATGCTTCCGGATATTATGCAAAAACCTGTTATCTTTCACTTTAATCACCATATATAGACCCCCAGGACACTATGTCAATTTTCTAAGAGTTTTCTGATTTTATTTCTGACTTACTAGTGAAACTGATAAAACATTATATGTAGGAAACTTTAACATCCACATACAGTAGATAACACTAACGATACATTAGAGCTTGTGTTTATGGATTTACTACATTCACTTGGGATAAAGCAAAACGTTGTTTGTCCAACCCATCGCTTAAAGCATACATTAGATCTCATTCTGTCTTATGGAATTGAGGTCATTGATGTAGATATTATACCACAAAGTGATGATATTACAGACTACTACCTCTTACTATATAAGCTGTGTCTACCTGAAATTAGCAGATCTCCACCGATATATATACCTGATATTTTTCAATTACGAAATGCACCCGCAAACGCAGTTGACCTTGATGTAGAAACCAGCAGTATGTTGTCTTTACTAGCACACTAAATACTGTGGCACCCTTAAAATTAAAAAAAGGCTAGAGAGAATAAAACTACACCATGGTATAACAGTCATACTCGTTATCTCAAAACAGCAACCCGTGCCCTGGAACGTAAATGGAAAAAAACTAATTTAGAGGTCTTTAGAATTGCGTACAAAGACAGTATGTCCAGCTATAGGAGGGCTCTTAAATCTGCCAGGGCTGAGCACCTCCGCAAACTGATAGAAAATAATCATAACAATCCTAGATTTTTATTTAACACGATCGCTAAATTAACAAATAATTGGTCATCTTTGGAACAACCGCAAATTAGTAATGATGACTTCATGAATTTTTTTTTGTGATAAAATAGAAGGCTTTAGATAGAAAAATAGAAGATGTTAAACTTTCTGTACCACCTTATACTTCAGATCCAGTAAACATTACACTGAATCATAATAACCTATGTGCCTACAAATCACAGAACAGTTTTAAACCAGCTACGTGTATGTTGGACTCAATTCCATCAAAAATGCTGAAAGAATTGCTACCTGTTATAGAAGAACCTCTTCTTAATGTTATCAACTCTTCTTTATCTTTAGGCCATGTACCGAATCCCTTCAAGCTAGCTGTTATTAGGCCTATCATTAAGAAACCACAACTGGACCCCAGCAACTTACAGAACAGTACAGAAACTGCATTAGTGAAAATAACCAATGATTTACTCTTAGCTGCTGACCAAGGGTACATCTCGCTATTAGTTTTACTCGATCTTAGTGCCGCATTTGACACCATCGACCACAATATCCTTGTAAATCTCTTAAATTCTACAGGTGTCCAGGGACAGGCTCTACAATGGTTTAGGTCATACTTAACTGACTGTTACCAGTTTGTAAATATTAATGAACAGTTTTCACAAGCCAGTCCAGTAAAGTATGGGGTGCCTCAAGGATCAGTTTTAGGCCATTTGCTGTTTACAATATACATGCTACCTCTGGGTGACATTATTAGAAGACATGGGATCAGCTTTCACTGCTATGCAGATGATCCTCAATTATATATTTCAGCTAAGCCTGATGAAATGTCTGAACTGTCTAAGCTAGCTGAGTGTATTATAGATGTTAAAGACTGGATGACCAACAACTGACTTCTCTTAAACAAAACAGAATTATTACTTATTGTGCCTAAATCATGTACACATCAGATCTTACAACTTAACCTGCAATTAGAGGGATACAGTTAGCGTTAGCTCTACTATAAAAGATCTGGGTGTCATAAAAGACAGCCATGTCACAAAAACTGCCTTCTTTTATCTGATAAATACCACTAAGTTAGGAAGTATGCTATCCATCTCAGATGCAGAAAAGCTAGTCCATGCTTTTATGACTTCTAGGCTGGATTACTGTAACGCTCTGTTTGCTGGCTGCCCAGCATCCTCTATTAACAAACTTCAATCAGTACAAAATGCAGCTGCCAGAGTTCTTACCAGGTCTAGAAAATATGATCATATCACCTCCTTACACTGAAACTTACAGAACAGTACAGAAACTGCATTAGTAAAAATAATCAATGATTTACTCTTAGCTGCTTATCAAGGGTGCATCTCGCTATTAGTTTTACTCGATCTTAAGCTGCATCCGAAATGGCACACTATACACTATGCACTCATCCACTATGTACTTATGCACTTACACACTCAACATAATAGTATATGTATGTAGTGTTGTCCCAAATGGCACACTAATGTGTTTTTACTAAGCGGAAATTCAAACCGTTTCCCTGATGACGTTTGACGGTTGCCAAATCAGTGAAATAAACGACCGAATTATCAGATAATACCTGCTGTGAGTATTGCCGCATTCACCATCGGGAGGCGCTATAATCACTCTCATAGGAGAATTTTGCTTTCACCATCCAAAATAAATAAAGTTATTCAACATGTGTGTCCGATAGCTCCGCCCTTTCCGCTACGTAAGCAAACCTGCGGTCGTTGAGTGCGTGAAGTGTCCATCATTACACACTTCATTTTAGCGGCTGAATGAGTGCATCATCCGGGTAATTAAAGTGCAATTATTATTTTTAGAGTTTTCAGTGTGAACACACTACTTACACTATTTATACTACAAAATGGCGTAGAATAGTGCATAAGTATGCGATTTGGGACACAGCTTTAGTGATCTTATTGTCTCCAGGGACAGATGAGTCTTTGATGACAGCCAGGGTTCTCCAGCCTTCAGCGCATAGACTGCAGAACTGCACAAGACGTTTGGCCTAAAGGAGAAATGGTCATGCCCAACTGAGTCTGGTTTCTTTCTCTCTAGGTTTTTTAATTCTTCATTTTCGCAAATTGGTGACGTTTTTTCCTCGCCGCTGTCGCCACTGGCTTGCATGGTTCGGGACCCATAAAGCTGTGCATCAATGGATTTGTTCTTCAGTGTTTGGACTCTCAGTATTGAATATTAAACCACACTGAACTCAACTAAACTGAACTGGACTTAAACTCTGAAAACTGGACTGAAACTGTTTCAACTCACTATAATATTCCATTTGAAGCTGCTTTGAAACAATCTACAAGCAAAAGCGCTATAGAAATAAAGGTGAATTTAACTGAATGAAAGATTTACCATTTGTTCATAAATGGTGCACATTTCACCATTATTTAATGTTGGCTGGCAAAAAAGCAATATATTTCTGCCACAAACCAAAAGTCTATTAGTGCAGTCAAACCATGATATGCAGAAATTAACCAAGACATTGTTCCAATAAATTGTGTGTGCTTATGTGTACATGTGGATGTTTCTATTTTAAAAAAAAAACTCACCTGACTGTCCAGTAAGATTGCATCGACTTGAGGAAGGTGATGGGACCCAGGTACCATTTTGGCAAGTGCCTTGTAAGCTGTTCATTAGTAAGTTTGTCAGGCCAGTCAAACCTTTAATAGACGAACAGTTAAACAGGCAATGGTCAAAGGGGTAATCCGTAAAACAGGCAAAAGGTCAGGGCAGAAAACAAACATAAAACAAGGAACAATGCAGAAGTCAAAACGAACAACACAGGAAACACTAGAAATATCCACAACAGGAGAACAACACTGAGCACTTAATATGTGTGAGTGTGGTACATATATGTGAGTCATTACAGTTTTTTCCAATTGTTTACACACAATTACTTGTACTTCAGACACAATTTCTACAACATGTAACTGATGCACCAACCCCCTGAACCAATTCTGCTAAACTACAAGCACAATTCCTGCTTTACACTCAAATTGCAGGTTTACAACAATCTTTTTTTCAAAACACTACACACAATTCTCTGCATTTTACACAATTTTCATGCAGAAAATCTTTTGTTTTCACAAGGAACACACTGTCATTCAAAATTGTATAGTCAGTTGCTTTACTTTACATATAACTCATCACATGAGTAAACACTTGTCGCACAGAATTTCAATTTAGAAATCAGAGCTCATCTGGATCATAACTGGTTCTCTGCCCGCCCACAATTTTTAGTGGTTTATCTCCCTCCATATTCTCCATTCCTCAAACCTATTGAGGAATTGTTTTTCTGTCTGGAGATGGAAAGTGTATGACTGAAATCCACACACACGTATACCCCTTTTCCAAGCAATAGCAGTTGATGCATTTCATGGCTGGATTCGCCATGCAAGGTGACATTTCCCCCGCTGCTTGGCCAGACCAAAACAGAAAAGAGGATGCAGTATAGCTGTTTTAATTTTTTTGTTTGTTTTTTACTGTAACTGTATTCTGTAAATACTTCTGTTGATGGTACATGTAGACAACGTTATCTACAACTTTGTGTTGGTTAGGACGAACACTGTGTAAACTGTATTTGTGGGGAAAATACAGTAAAATATATTTGGTATTTGTGTGTTTTGTATAAAACAATATTCTGAAATATTTTACAAAGCAATTCTGTAGGCCTATGTACTGTCTGTCTGTAGTAAGTGTAACACTGAACAAAAAAGACTGACAGTAAGTCATTATGATGAATGGTCAGAGTGTTTTACATTCAGCACATCAGTGTTCAACTGTTCTTATAAATGTCTATTGATGTGATGGCTTGTGTGTTTCATTTGAAAACAAAATACCATTTTGAGAAGAAATCACATCGTTTTGAACGTAGAGTTTCATTTTGCAGAAGAATTGAAGAGTTTTGCCCAATGTGTGTGTGTTTTGTGATTTGTGTGTAGAGTTCTGACAATATGAGACCTGCTTACAGAAAATGTGTGTAAACAATTGGAAAAAACTGTAATATCCTGCAGGTGTAGTGTAAGTTGATTGGCGCAATACAAAGTTAGAGGTGTAGTCTGGGTAAATGGCAGAGGTACAAGGTGGATTGACATCTGATTGAGGTTATGGCACTCCCACTAGTAACAATTAAAGCAAAGTGGCTTTGGTCAATATAATTTTAATTATCCTTTTAATAAAATTTTATTTGACTGAGCAATAATGACATTCCAAGATATTTTACTCTAAGATACCCCTTAAATCTAATAACACAGGCTTATCTGTGTACTTAGAATCATCTTGACCAAAAGTGAATATATTCACATGCATATCTCTTATAACTCTGCTGTTCTTAACTGTTTGGCACCATCTTGCAACTTAATAGTAATACAAGTAGGTTGTATTATTGTATAACATTTAAAAGTATATATTTTTATTGATTAAAGAATATTAATATTAATAATAATGATAATGCATTGTATTTGTGATCTACTATTCTTAAATCCAAAGCGCTAAATATATATTAAAATAGAATGTTTACCATGAAATCAAGATGGACTTTTTTGTCTTTTACATTTGAATCATTTAGCAGACATGTTTATATAAAGCAATTCATTTTTCTGTGAGTCTGTGCTTTGTGTTTGTGCCTAAACATCTGAAGACTTCACAGCCAACGTTTCTGTTTTTTCTATTTTGGTTTGCCTATATTTCTTTCCTAATTTGTTTTCATTTAGAAATTTTGATAGTAAATGGTTTTATATCTGTTTTATTTCACTTTTAGTTATTTTCTATTACCTTATCTTTGATTTATTTCTTTAGTGTTGTATTACTCTTTCACTCATTTTCTTTTTGGCTTAGTCCCTTTATTAATCCGGGGTCGCCACAGTGGAATGAACCGCCAGCTTATCCAGCATGTTTTTACGCAGCGGATGCCCTTCAAGCCGCAACCTTTCTCTAGGAAACATTCACACACTCATTCACACATACACTACGGACAATTTAGCCTACCCAATTCACCTGTACTGCATGTCTTTGGACTGTGAGGAAAACCGGAGCACCCGGAGGAAACCCATGCAAACTTCACACATAAACTGAGGCAGCTAAGGCTCGAACCAGCAACCTTCTACTGTGAGGCGACAGCACTACCTACTGCGCCACTGTGTCGCCTGGCACTCAACATATAAAATATTTAGTCAGCAATCATAATTTAGGTCAGTTAAAACATCACCATGAACTGAAAAGTTTCTTACAATTACGTTTTGCAACCCAAATTTAAGGTGCAGTATTTAAGTAGGACACCCAGGGGTTGGACTATTTATTGCATGCCTGGTTTCAAATGGGCAAGCACAGTTTGCCAGATTGATTAAATAAAAGCAACAGCACAAGATAGAAGAAATTTTTTCATAAAGTTTTTGTTCTAACCAACACCTAAAATTGATATTTTAGAAACAGCTTCTATTTCTTGCAGCTGAACCGGTTAAACTGACAATGATCACCTCAGGTACACCTCATGTGCTTTATTCAGTGTTAAATGCTATGTGATATGCATATGCATTGTGAGTTTGAACGCCATTATACATGACATTTATTGCCATACTACTGAAAGCAAAGGCATAAAGTTCACCTCAGATCTAGAAAATAAAATAACACAAACACATATAAGTGATTTAGTGTGTACGTTTAATAATGTTAAAGAGGTTTAATATGCATTAAATAGATTATAAACCTTATCATTTAAGTGTTGTATGCCGTCCCAGCTGCAACACACTGGGAAAGCCAAAACACAAACGGTCCAAAGAACAAAACATACCTATTCAAAACTTACAGGCTCTAGCTTATCAACATTTGTGTCTGTGTGCGTGTATGTAAACTTCTCTTTTAATGACGGCCTCACCTGCGTCTCCATTTTGACGGCATAACTCTGAGAGAGAAACTGGGTTCCAGACATCCTTTCTACAAGTACCTATGAATCAAATGAAAAGTTATGTGGCTTTATTTAATATAACTTTAATTATTACACAGCTCTCTGAAAACTTGATTTTGACAGGCCAACCATGCCTTTCCATAGTATTTTATTCTCAGATGACAGCCAGTAAATCTAATAACACAGGCTCATCTGGGTACTTTGAATCATCGTTACAGTTCTTGACTGTTTAGTGCCATATTATTACAGCTCAGGCCTTAGTTTTCAAAAACCTACCAAAGTCTACATCATACTTACATTGTACCTAAAGCTGTACCTTAATGTGTTTCGAGAAATGTTTTTACCATCGTTAAGTCGTAAATTCGTAGGTTGGTCTGGACCACTCTTAGCTGTACCTTATCACTGTTGACATCTCACTTCACCGAATGGACAAAATGCCATTAAACCTACTTTATACTTAAGTCTATACGAATATAAATCTTTAAGATGTAATTACACACCCAGTGTTAAATTAAGCAAATTAAAAAGTTGTCCTGCAAATATTAAACTTGGCATTACATGTATGATTGTTAGGCTTCAGATGATTGTGTTTCAATCATGAATTTTATTGGAGGTTTGGTGGCAGCAGCAATACACATTTTTAATTACAGAAAAATTTAGTCCTCTGGCAACCATGACAAGCAATTACACTACTACTAATAATAATAATATTAAATGCAGCTTAGATATAGTTTAACTTTGTTGAGTGAAACATTACAGAGATCCCCATAGCCCTGATATTTAGCTTCTTACGGCTCCTCTTTTTCTCCTATTTTCTGCTAAATAACACTATATATTTTACGTGTTACGTGTTAATGAAATGCTCGTAGGTCCAATGCAAATATTGTCGCCATAAACAAGGATACCATACTATGTACATTTTCCATAAACATTTCTTTAAAAAAATTAGAGAAGTTTTATCATTAACAGAATTAAAAATATTTCAATACATTTCAGTCAAATTTAATTCACATATTTCCTCTTTTTCCTGGAAGTATCCTCTTGAACTTGAGACTAGAAGAATATTTATGGCCAGGATCTCCTAAAATGTTCAGGATTCAGCTTTTGCTTTCTATATTCTCAATAATTGTATGCATTTTAGGAGTACTTTATATCTTTTGTGGTTTCACTTTCACAGTTGACTGTGTGCGTACAGCGCAAGTTGCGGAGGCTTTGATATTTGACTCACTCGCGGTTGTACTATTATTTGTAACAACAGGAGACGTCTAAGAATAACAGTCATGACAAAACACTGGTGAAGAACACATCAGCATGTGGAATTGCTTAATAAATTAATTTAATTATATAAAAAATATACATATGAAGGATTTAGATGCATTAACAAAAAAATTTCTCTTAAATGTGTATTTTGGGTCAGCACGGTGGCACAGTGGGTAGTAGAATGGCCTCACAGCAAGAAGGTTGCTGGTTTGAACCTCGGCTGGGTCAGCTGGCATTTTTGTGTGGAGTTTGCATGTTCTCCCTGCGTTTGTGTGGGTTTCCTCTGGGTGTTCTGATTTCCCCCACAAGTCCAAAGACATGCAGTATAGGTAAATTGGGTAAGCTAAATTGTCCATAGTGTATGAGTGTGTATGGGTGTTTCCCAGTGATGGATTGCAGCTGGACGGGCATCTGCTGCATAAAACATATGCTGGATAATTTGGCGGTTCATTCTGCTGTGATGACCCCGGATTAATAAATGGACTAAGCCGAAAATGAATGAATGACTGAATGAATGTGTATTTTTATCAGGCTCCTGTGTGTACATAAATATATGGGTATAAAGGATTTACATGCAAAAAAATATATTTTTTTGTCTAAAATGTGTATTTTTATCAGGCTTCTATGTGTATTTTCAGTAATAACACGTTTATGGCAAAGAATAAGTCTTTTTTCTTGTTTTTAAAGTAAAATATCTTAACGTAAACAAAGGAGGCTGATAAAAATTTAAATTTTCGATGGAAATTTTAGAGGCCATTTAGAGGTTTTTGCATCTGATCTCTTCATATATACATATAATATCCACACACACACACACACACACACACACACACACACACATATATATATATATATATATATATATATATATATATATATGTATAATATATAATATAAATATACAAAAATACAAATATAATTATAAAATGAATATAATGTGGATCAATTTCGTAGACAATCATAAAAATATTTGCAGTGCTTTGTTGCACTCCACTATTGGTCAGCCATGTACGTACGGTATGTACGTAAACATTGGCTGGTGCGTCTCAATCAGTCATGTAAAAAATTAGGCAATTACTGGAAAATATGTTATTACTTTATGTGTGTGTACTGTATATATACTGCTAAAAAATTATTAATTAAAAAAAAAAAATATATATATATATATATGGTTAAAGTCAGAATTATTAGCGCCCTTTGAATTTTTTTCCAAATGATGTTTAACAGAGCAATGAAATTTTCAGTCTGTCTGATAATATTTTTTCTTCTGGAGAAAGTCGGCTAGCATAAAAGCAATTTTAAATTTTTTAAACTCCATTTTATGGTCAAAATTATTAGCCCCTTTAAGCTGTATTTTTTCTCGATTGTCTACAGAACAAACCACCGTTATACAATAACTTGGCTAATTACCCTAACCTGCCTAGTTAACCTAATTAACCTGGTTAAGCCTTTAAATTTCTCTTTAAGCTGTATAGAAGTGTCTTGAAAAATATCCAGTAAAATATTATTTACTGTCATCATGGCAAAGATAAAATAAATCAGTTATTAGAAATGAGTTATTAAAACTATTATGATTAGAAATGTGTTGAAGAAATCTGCTCTCCGTTAAACAGAAATTAAGGAAAAAATAAACAAGCGGTCTAATAATTCAGGGGGGCTAATAACTCTGACTTCAACTGTATATATATGTATATATATATATATATATATATATATATATATATATATATATATATATGGACGTTTGTCTCTCTTGTAATGTTCAAGTCATCAAGTCATTAAACTTACACTTAAAAAGCATCATCAAAGACATTACTTATGCAATGTCACTTTAGAACACATACTAACATTTTACAACATTTTTGTAGGACATCATGTCTATGACAGCTTTTAAATGTTACTACTTGTTTCTGAAAGTTCTGGAAACATTTAAAAGTATAATTTCCATGGTTTATAAAATTATAAAAAGGAATGGTCCGTGTGAAATCAAAATAAACTTTTTCAGCTTTTATTATGAATGTCTACATTGTGGTTATCAATAGAAAATGTAGTATGCATTCAAAATATGCATTCAAAAGGCACAGCCTCTCACTTGCCAACATTTGTGTGTGCATGTAAGCTTCTTTTTTTAATAAAGCCCTTACCTGACCAATCACTGAGATTGCATTGACTTGAGCCTGGTGATGGGTCCCAGGCACCATTTTTGCAAGTACCTATAAAGTCAAAAGACAAATAATGTGGCAAACACACACACACACACACACACACACACACACACACAAAAACACACACAAAAACACACACAAAAACACACACACACACACACACACACACACACACACACACACACACACACACATCAAACATCTAAGGACTAAATAATATCACAAGTAGGTTAGTATACGCTGCATTCCTGCTCTGTTTAATTAAAGACTTTGTAATTACAGTGCTCTGCATACATGAATACACCCCATTTTGAATTATTTTCTCTAATTCTTGTTGAATATAGGTATTAAACACATATATTTATTAAAATAATATTTTACCAAACATCTTTACAAATAAAAAGATAATGCATTTAAATCAAGTGAAATATTGCCTAAAAAAATTACACAGTACAAATCTTCCACAAAATGTTATATATTTTTTATTTCTCTTAATTGTTACTCTTTTTCATATTTTTATTTCCTATTTTTACCTAATACATAAATTTGGGCTACTTATTTTTTGTCACAAATTATTTTGATAGATCAGCTCCAGATCATCTTCAGTACTGACTAATCTAACGTATGCACATATGTAATATTGTAAAGCATTTTATAGAAAAAGAGATTTGTGAATGGTGTACTCATATGTATGCTAAACACTGCATTAGAGCTCAGATCAATGTTTTGTGTCTAATTGTTTAGTTTTGTAGCAAGCAGCCTTTTAATAATAATGTACATCCAGCTGGTTGTTTTTGCAGAATTAGGTCATTCAGTTGTATATATCAGTCCTCTACTATATTCTGCATGAACAATCGACAATCGATGTACATGAGCCCTCACTTAAGACATTCACACTCATAAAACATCTATTTCAATTACCTGATTTCATGTATCCTACAAACCCGTCTGCACCAAATATAAAAAAGTCCATCATATCAGGGGAATTTTTGTTATTTTTAATCATGTTAGCAAGATTTTCCTGCATATCACTACTACAGTGATTAGAAGAGTCAGCAGAAATGAGGGCAGGCAAAATAAGCAGGAGGCCAATGGTCTTCCACTTCATTTTAATAGGATCTCAGGGTTCCTCATTAACATCTAAAGAGAGAAAAGAAGCATATGTAATACTGTTTTTTATGTAAATGCAGATTAGTATCAGTACATTTTTGGATATTTCTAAATAGAGCTTTGTGCTACAAAATATTGTTTTCCTGTATTTTTATATGGATTATATGTAAAAATTGTTTAAATTTCTGAATAAAGCTTTTTGTTGGTCACGAGCAATCCAGCCTGTGCAGATCACTAACGGACTACAATTCCAGTCATACACCACACACACCTGTTCCAGATCACGATTGATTACACTTACACAGCTGGGAGCTGCTCAAAGACTGATTAGATGGACTTTAAATACACTCCACTGCCGGCACTGCCTTCAGAGACGACGCAGCTGCCGCCAGAGCTGCCAGCGTCGGTGCCGATGCTGCCAGAGTTGACGCCGCCACAGTCGCCGCCGCCAGTCGATGCTGCTGCCGTCAGAGAGACTCTGCCAGAGCTCGATCTAATGTTTACAATACCGCTTACAAGACTCAGCACTGAGGTGTGTGTGTGTGTGTGCACTGTATTTAAAGTCTATCTAATCAGTCTTTGAGCAGCTCCCAGCTGTGTGAGTGTAATCAATCATGATCTGGAACAGGTGTGTGGGAGTGGTGCATGTCTGGAACTTGTAGTCCATATACCAGCAGATTTGTAGTCCGTTCTGCACAGGCTGGATTGCTGGTGACTGTGAAAGTGCTACAAACAATTGTTTTCCTGTTTTTTTTTTTAATATGGATTATTCCTGCAGAAAAAAAAACAAGCCTAGGCTGGTTGGCTGTTTTAGCTGATTGACCAGCCTGGTTTGGGAGGGTTTTAGCTATTTCCAGGCTGATTTCAGACATTTCCAGCCTGGTCTTATCTGGTCAGGCTGGAAAATGACCAGCTAAAACCAGCTTGACCAGCCTGGTTTAAGATGGGCTTAACTGGTTTTGGCTGCTCTTCCAGCCTGGCTGCGCTGGTCACACTGATTTTAGCTGGTCATCTTCAAGCATGGAATGTATGAAACCAGCCTGGAAATGGCCAAAACCCCTCCAAAACCAGGCTGGTCAACTAGCTAAAAACTGCCAACCATCTTAGGCTGTTTTTTCAGCAGGGTTAATTCCAAATGAAGCTTAGTGCTACAAAGGATTGTTTTCCCTTTAAAAAAAAAAAAAAAAAAAAAAAAAAAAAAAAAAAAAATATATATATATATATATATATATATATATATATATATATATATATATATATATATATATATATATATATATATATTTTTTTTTTTTTTTTTTGTGGAATAATTGCTCAACTTTTTACCAGGTCAGACAAAATCTCATTTTGACGAAAAGACTGTAACATCCACCTTTCTTTTAGTTTAAGTCCATGTGTATTGACTTAGAAATTGAATATTATGAGGCATCTTTTGCTTTAAGTTGTAAAAAAAAATTTATGTTGGCCTAAACATCTGTTACCCAATTTGTTATCATCACAGGGAAAAGGTTGGAAAAGTTACTTTTAAAATATTTCACTACATATTACAATAGAATATTTCTCAAAGGAAACTGCTATCTTTAAAAATAAACAATGACTGATGCTTTAGAAAAAAAACACAAAGCATTAAAAGCCTTTATGCATAACGATTTGTAAATTAAGTTTTCGTTTATGAGGACAGAATTGAATGAAAAGGATTATGATATGTGAACGAAATAAAAACAAACACTCTGAAGGACTTATGATCAACTATCACAAATCATAAAAACAGTTCTGGATCTCCTAGTAACAGACTGTCATTTTTAACATTGCAATAGTTATGAACTAGCTTATTATTTTCCATGATGAATATAATACAATTTTGTGAAACATCCTGTGCAGAGCAGAAGCCTCAGAGTAACTATTATTTTTTATTATTATATTGTATATTACTATACAGTTGAAGTTAATATTAGCCCTTCTGAATTATTAGCCCCCCTGTATATTTTCCCCAATATCTGTCTTAATGATTTTTCAACAAATTTCACATTTCATCAGAAAAAAAATATTGCTTAAGGAGGCTATTAACATTGACCTTAACATGATCTTGTTTTTAAACAACCAGCTTTTATTCTAGCAGAAATGAACAATTAAGGCTTTCTCCAGAAGAAAAAATATTATGGGAAATACTGTGAAAAATTCCTTGCTCTGTTAAACATCATTCATTTTCTTTTCGGCTTAGTCCCTTTATTAATCAGGGGTCGTCACAGTGGAATGAACCACAAACCTATCCAGCATATGTTTTATGCAGCGGATTCCCTTTTAGCTGCAACCCAACACTGGGAAACACCCATACACTCCTGCATTTACACACTATGGCCAGTTTAGCTTATTTAATTCACCTATAGCACATGTTGAATACTTTAAAGCGTCAGTCACCAACTGCTGTTTACATGAATGTTTAAAGATAAATGACAATTAAAGTTTAAGAAATCACAAACGCAATAAAACACATTCGCTCTTTTTTGTTGGCCTATTTTACACTCAAAAACATTTTTTTTAACTTTTTTAAGCTACTTAATTAAAATAAGCTGAAACAAAAAAAATTGTGAGATTTCATTGGGACAATCCACATAAATTTGTTAGAAGCGTTAAGTTAATTTAATCAATTTGTGTTGGGACAACATGAATGAATTGTGTGGAGCCCTGCATTTTTACAGTGTAAGTAACCAAGTTACAAGTAACGCATAAAGTCATTTAAATGTATTGCTATAATCACAAAGACACTGATTTGGAGCACAAACAGTTCCTCAGATTGCAAAAAAAAAAAAAAAAACACGTAACCACAAGTAAATGTTAATGAAAATACTACTAATAATAAAATGTACCAGTGATTTTTGATTGAATACATATCAGCGCTCTAGGAAAATTGGACAGCCAGAATAATGGAAGAGAATCAAATGTTTTTATCCTGTGAAAATGAGCATCCCAGAATCCAAACTCATGTTTTCTAATACAATGTAAATTTATACTTAGTCGCGATATAAACATGTACATTAAGCAGATGCTGTTGTTCAAATGGATTTAATTAAATGTGAAATTGATCATATTAGCAGTGCTAATTGTAATTTGGCAGAACCAAAAATGCTGAAATTATATTCATTTTACTCGCCAAGTTTTTTTTTCCATACAAATGCCAACTAAAAGAAACCTCTTACCTGCTGAAGGGGAGCCGAGTATTTCTAAATACTTGTGTGTTTTCATCAGACAACGATGGTACACGATTTTGCATATAACATTTCCTCCCAGTCACTGTGGTTTTCTGTTTCTCTAAAACACATTTCTGGATGCAAAGCAGCTGGAACAGAACAGTGGGACAACATACAGTTACTGTGAATGGCGTTTCCATTATTAATAGAAGATTATACTGTGTGACATGATGAATCATCAAAAATCTTGGGCAAATTTTTCACGATTGTAAAGTAATGGATCTCACCCTGATCTCAAAGTATTTTCATGGACCGCATCCTCCCACATCCCTTCAATATTAAATGCCAGATTTGTTTCTATTGTTTAATAAAATACAGGGTTCATGTTTTCTACCTAGCACTAAAAACTAAAACTCCCAAGCTTAAATAAAAGATTTTTTTTTTTTTAGGAAATGGACTAATTTTGAGACAGATTCTTCGAATGATGAACCTTTGGCCTTAAGCAAAATGAATTTGTTCATTTGAAATTACAAGCAAACAATGCATTTATTTCAGAATTTAAACAAATGGCATGAGGCTATTACTATTTTATTTATTTTTTGTAATTTGAGGTTTGGGGCGACGCGGTGGTGCAGTGGGTAGCACGTTCGCCTCACAGCAATGAGGTCGCTGGTTCGAGCCTCGGCTGTGTCAGTTGGAATTTCTGTGTGGAGTTTGCATGTTCTCCCTGTGTTGGCGGGGATTTCCTCTGGATGCTCCGGTTTCCCTCATAAGTCCAAAGACATGTGCTATAGGGGAATTGAAATAACTAAATTGTCCGTAGTGCATGTGTGTGAATGAATTTGTATGGGTATTTCCTAGAGCTGGGTTGCAGCTATAAGGGCATTTGCTGCGTAAAACGTGCTGGATAAATCGGCGGTTCATTTTACAGTGGCAACCCCAGATTAATAAAGGGACTGAGCCGAAAAGAAAATTAATGTACGTGTGTGAATGGGTGTTTCCCAGTACTGGGTTGCGGCTGGAAGGGCATCCGCTGCATAAAACATATGCCGGAATAGTTGGTGGTTCATTCCGCTGTGGTGACTCCTGATAAATAAGGGACTAAGCCAAAGAAAAATTAGTGAATGAATGAATATTATTTGGCATCTGCAGTCACTGGGCTGATGGTAAAAAAAGTCCTCCTAAAAATTATACAACAATTAATCCATACATAATAAAACAAGCTTCAGAATACATCTAAAGTTTACACCAATCTTGAAAAAATGCTAATCCATCAAAAATGTAAGCTATACCTAAAACCAGCAGATCAATATCTCAGTCAAAGGTATACACAACTAACAGACAAAATGAGCAGTAAATATCAATATGCGGGCAAATGCAATATAAGAGGTAACAGTACACTGGTAAAACTTGAATGACAAAAAGTCACAACAACAAATGTTTTACTGTTACTTTAATTTAATTTCATATGTTAATTAGGTTTCAACTACATTTTTTGTAGCTACACAAAGGTCAACAATATATTTTAGTCAGTTTCATTGATTTAAGTTGAGATGACTAGAAAAGTTAATTTGATTCAACTAAATAATTGAAGGCAGGAATTGTTACATTGTAGCATTGATCATTCAATCAGCATACAACTAAATAACCTTATGTATAAGACAAGACAATATAATTTAGATAGCAAAATTAATGTTGACAATTCGGATTTTCAATTAACCACTTCTTTAAGTGAAAATTGAAAAAAAAGATGTAAGCATTACAATTTGTAATAAAAGTTGTGATGGAGTTCACAATAGTTTTTGTTCCAAAGAAACTTAACAAAAGGTGCACCTCAATGGTACATGATTTTGCATATAGCATCATTTACACATGACATAAAAAGTCTCTATAAGGTATGCATGCTATCAGGGATCTCTGTCATTCACACTGATCCAATCAAAATGAACGCACTGACTGAGTGCTAAATGTCATCTTTAATAATTTCTGTGCATGGCTGTATTTAATGTCACATGGACTGTAAAGTGTTTCATATTCAAACACATACATTTTTTTTTTTAAATGAAAAAGGCATTATGATTATTTTATAAAGTCTACATTCATGCGCAAAAAGTAAAGTTTACACAAAAATGAGTATTGACTCACCATGTTCACCCCAAGAGGTCCTAAAGCTTTATTAGTTTATTTTTCGGCTGAAACATAAACAAGATATTTTAAAGAATGTTGTAAAACTTGTAGCCATTGGCATCTAGGGTACGAACAAAAGACACTTTGGAAGTCAATGGCTAATAGTTTCTGACATTCTTCAAAATATCTTACTTTGTGTTTAACAAAAATTCCCTTTCTACGTTTTCACAGCTAATTCATTCATTCATTCATTTTTCTTTGGCTTAGTCCCTTACTTATCAGTGGTCACAACAGCGAAATGAACCTCCAACTATTTCAGCATATGTTTTACGTAGCTGATGCCCTGCCAACCGCAACCCAATACAGGGAAACACCCATACACAGTCATACAGTATGGCCAATTTAGTTATTCAATTCACCTATAGCACATGTCTTTGGACTGTAGGGGAAACTGGATCACCTGAAGGAAACCAACATAAACACGAGAAGAACATACAAACTCCACACAGAAACGCCAACTGGCCCAGCTGGCACTTGAACCAGCAACCTTCTTGCTGTGAGGCGACAGTGCTAAGCACTGAGCCACCATGTCGACCTACAAATAACTAAAAATTTAAAAAATATATTTTTATAAGCAGGCTTGTCTAACATGTGAAATAAACTGTTGTTTTCAACATTATTTCATAGTCAGCTCATTTAATATACAGTTGAAGTCAGAATTATTAGCCCCCCTGAATTATTAACCCCCTGTTTATTCTTTACCCCAATTTCTGTTTAACGGAGAATTTTTTCAGCACATTTCTAAACGTAATAGTTTTAACAACTCATTTCTACTGACTGATTTATTTTCTCTTTGCCATGATGGCAGTAAATAATATTTGACTAGATATTTTTCAAGACACTTCTATACAGCTTAAAGTAACATTTAAAGGCTTAACTAGGCAGGTTAGGGTCATTAGACAAGTTATTGTATAACGATGGTTTGTTTTGTAGACTATCAAAAAAATATATAGCTTCAAGGGGCTAATAATTTTGTCCTTAAAATGGGTTTAAAAAAATTAAAAACTGCTTTTATTTTAGCCGAAATAAAACAAATAAGACTTTCTCCAGATGAAAAAAATATTATCAGACGTACTGTGAAAATTTCATGAATCTGTTCAACATCATTAGGGAAATATTAAAAAAAGAAACAAAAATTCAAAGGGGCTAAAGAACTATCAAAAATAAGCCTTTGCATGGATTTTATTCTACATTTATTATTATTTTATTATTTAAAATGTTGCATGTTCCAGTACACAGTGATGTTTTTTTAAATGAGGCTTTATGTAAAATGAATATTGATAAAAGCGATACCATCTTGTTCTTAGAAACATAAATAGGTTCCTGATAAGCAACTACTACACAAGGAAACAGTAAAGAGAAGCCTTGTATTCATATCAAGATTTTCCTAGCTCATCTGTTTAACAAATGAGATGCTTTGCTGCTGAAAATATCAGCATTACAAAAGAAACCTTGTAAGTTTGCAGTGAAGTGATGAACACATATCTGTTTAACTGAAGCATAGTGTACACAGTGTAGTACACATTTACATAGTATGTGTCATGAACATTATAAATATTGAAATCTTTAATGCACAAGGCACATCCCTGTAAAAACACAGCCTGAGAAAGACCTATAAAATACTGACTGGCTTCAGAAATGCACTATATATGTCCTTTTCAGAAATGTACATTTGGATATAAACAACGTTTTGTTGGATGAAAACTTGTAATGTTAGACATTCCTAATGATTTACAAGTCACCAGGAATGACTGGAAATCTAGTTTGTTTTTAAAATTGACTAGATAAAATTGATATCTTGTTTTCCCGTTTTGTTGTTGCTGGTTATATGTTATAAAAGATTCAATAAAAACGGATTCAAGAGTTCACACTTGATGATTGGTAATAAGCTTGCTTGGCATGGGAGAGAGCCCTGAGCTTGAAAGATCCACGAGCCCTTGGCTTCCTCCTGTTAGCAGGTTGAGAGGGGTACTTTTAAGCTCAGGCAGATCTCCATGAACTCCCCAGACTTATTTCTGGCTAATGGAAGGTATAAGATGTCTAAGGAGATATACGGCTTGCTAAGAGCTTGACTATGATGCCAAGTTGGTATGTTCAATTACTTAGGTTGCGTGTTTTTTTGGGACTGTGGGAGGAAACCGGAGATCCCGGGGAAAACCCACGCAAGCAAAGGGAGAACAAGCAGAAATGTCAAGGGGTTTAGTAAGGACTTTAACCGGAGACATTCTTGCTGTGAGGCAACAGTGCCAATCACTGGGCCACCGTGTCATCCATCTACAAAGAAGGAGGAGTATGGCTGGATGGGGGGATTTAAGACGAGGACATTGAGATAAGAAACTCTGGTTGTTTATATTAGGATAGGAATCATCTGATTTGTGAATCAAGCGTTATCTTATGAGGGACCAGCTGAGAACAATCATAAGTACGTGATCCTCTCTAAATTAGTTTAAAAATAAACTTCATGTAATTAAAATAAATGTTTATAATAAAATTGACCTCTGGTGAACTGATTTATTACTGTTAAATTATAGTTCAGTTTTATCCTCCTAAAAGAATAATTCAGCTACTCCACAAACAGCATTGCCAGTTTCACCACTAACCATTCATTAATTTTCATTTGGCTTAGTCTCTCTATTTCAGGGGTCGCCACAGACTATTCCAGCATATGTTTTACACAGCGAATACTCATCCAGCCACAACCCATTACTGGGAAACACCCAGTTTCACATTCACACATACACTACGGCCAATTTAGTTTATTCAATTCAACTATAGCGCATGTGTTTGGACTGTACGGGAAACCGGAGCATCCGGAGGAAACCCACGACAACACAGGGAGAACATGCAAACGCCACACAGAAATGCCAACTGACCCAGCCGGGACTCGAACCAGCGACCTTCTTGCTGTAAGGCGACAGTGCTAACCACTGAGCCACTGTGTCATCCACCACAAACCAACTTT